AAAGACTCCACTAGAAAATTGTTAGAACTGAATAAATCCAGTAGAGTTATGGTATGCAAAGTCATTATACAAAAGTCAGTTGCATTTCTATTACACCCTATTAGAAATTATGAGAACAGTCCTATTTGCAACTGCATCAAAAAGTAAAATACCTACGGGGAATTAATTTAACCAAGGAAGTGAATGTTGTATACTTAAAACTATGAGACATTGGGGCACCTGGGTGGCTCAGTCGTTAAGCATTTGCCTTCGGCTTGGGTCGTGATCCCAGGGTCCTGGGATCGAGTGCTGCATCGGGCTCCCCGCTCTGCGGGAAGCCTGCTTCTCTCTCTCCCACTGCCCGCTGCTTGTGTTACCTCTCTCGCTGTGTCTCTGTCAAAATCTTTGAAAAAAGAAAAACTATGAGACATTGATAAAGAAGTTGAAGACACAGATAAATGGAAAGCTGTTTCGTGCCCTTGGATTGGAAGAATTAATGTTAAAATGTTCATACTACCCAAAACAATCTACAGATTTGGTGCAATTTCTACCAAAATTCCAGTGGCATTTTTCACAGAAATAAAACAGTCCTAAAATTGGGACTCTCAAAAGGCCCCAATAGCTAAAGCAGTCTTGAGAAAGAACAAAGCTGGAAGCGTCATGCTCCCTTATTTCAAACTGTATTATAACACTAATAGTAATCAAAACAGTATGATATTGGCATAAAAGCAAATAGATCAATGGAATGCAATAAAGAGCCCAGAAATAAACCTACACATATTTGGTCAATTAATTGACCACAGTGGCGCTAAGAAAATACAGTGTGGAACGGAGAGTCTCTTCAGTAAATGGTGTTGGGAAAACTGGAAAGCCATATGTAAAAGAATGAAACTGGGCCACTGTCTTACACAATACACAAAATCAATTCAGTGGATTAAAGATTTGAACATAAGACCTGAAACCATAAAACTCCTAGAAGATTGAGGTGGTAAGATCCTTGACGGGTCTTGGTGGTAATTTTTCCGATTTCACACTGAAAGCAAAGGCAGTCAAAACAATAGTAAACAAATGGGACAGCATCAAACTGAAAAGCTTCTGCATAGCAAAGGAAATCATCAAAACAAAATAAGGCAACCGACCAAACAGGAGAAAATATGTGCAAATCATACACCTGGTAAGGGTTTAATCTCTAACACATAAAGAGACAGTCATACAGCTATGTGGCAAAAAAAGAAAATCTGATTAAAAATTTAATGGGCAGGGGTTGGCACTTGGATGGCTCAGTTGGTTAAGCATCTGACTCTTGATTTCAACTCAGGTCATGTTCTCAGGGTTGTGAGATTGAGCCCCATGTTGGGCTCCACGCTCAGCGGGGAGTCTGCTGGAGAATCTCACATCTCCCTCTGCCCCTCAGCCCTCAAAATAAATAAAATTTTTAAATAATTATTTTAAAAAATGGGCAGGGGATCTGAATGGACATTTTTCCAGAGACGACATTAATGGCCAGTAGGTACATGAACAGGTGTTCAGCATCACTAATCAGGGAAGACACTGACATCACCTCACACCTGTTAGAATAGCTATCAAAAAGAAATAGCAAGTGTTGGCTAGGGTATGGAGAAAAGAGAACCCTCCTGCACTGTTCGTGGAAACATAAATTGGTGCAATCAGTCACTATGACAAACAGTAGGGGAAGGTTCCTCAGAAGATTAAAAATACAACTACCATATGATCTAACATTTCCACTTCTGTATATCTCTCTGAAGAAAGGAAAGACACTAATTCAGAAAGATATCTACAATTGCATGTTCATTGCAGCATTATTTACAAGAGCCAAGACTTGGAAACATCCTAAGTCCATTGATAAATGGGTAAAGAAAATGTGTGTATATATGTGTATACAGTGGAACACAGTTCATAAAAATGACATATCCTACCATATGTGACAGCATTATGCCAGATGAAGTACGTCAGGCAAAAACAAATCCCTAATGATCTCACTTATATGTGGAATCTAAAGAAAACTCTGGGGATGCCTGGATGGCTCTGTTGGTTAAGCATCCAACTCTTGATTTTGGCTCAGGTCACAACTCGGGATCCTGAGATTGAGCCCTGTGTCTGGCTCTGTGCTGAGTGTGGAACTTGTTTGAGAGTTTCTCTCTTGCGCCCGCCCTGCAAAATAAAAAAATGTCTGAATTTATAGATAGAACAAAATGGTGGTTGCCAGATTCAGGGGGTAGGGTTGGGCAAAATGGATGAAGGGGGTCAAAAGGTATAAACTTCCAGTTATAAAATGGTCCTGAGGATTTAATGAGCAGTACGGTGATTATAGTTAGTAATGCCTAGCTGTATATTTGCAAGCTGGTGAGAGAGAAGATCTTAAAAGTTCTCAGTCACAAGGGAAGACAATTTGTTAACTGTGCGGTAGTAGATAATTTTTTACTATATGACCCATGAGATCATGATCTGAGCTGAAACCAAGAGTCAGATGCTCAACTGAGCCACCCAAGTGTCCTTTGGGTTTTTATGGAGGCTTCATTATATAGTCATATTGACTAAGTCATTGGCCATTGGCTGCTTAAACCTTCAGCCCCTCCCTTTCTCTTCCCTGGAGGTTGGGGAGTGAGGTAGGACTGAAATCTTTCCCTAAAAAAAAAAACAAAAACCTTTTTATTTGATTGTTAAAATAATTTAGAAATGGTAAAAAGTAAATGATTCAGACCAAAGATACTTGAACAGTGAACCAAATTGGTAGGAGCTAAAAAAAGGGTTTTGATTTTGAACTTAAGCCAGCAGAAATACTGGTCAGAACCTTTATTTTTCCTTTCCATGTATTAGCAAGCATTTTGTTTCCGGGATGGCATATGGGCTGCATTTTAGAGTTGAGTCATGAAAATTGTTAACAGTGAGTGCATCTTTTCTGATCAATAGCCAATGCCTGAAAACTGGATTGATTTTAGACTTTTTGTTCATTTCTCTGTATCTCTAAATTTGATGAGTTTTTATGTCTTACAATTACTCTCTGTTCCCATTTTGTCATAAGGACTTATTTCCTGCTATTTCAATGACTTTATACTTTCTATTCCATTTTTTTCATCTTCCGCAACGCTCTAAGGATCTTTTTAAGAAGTAGTTGATCTGATGGTATTTACTCATTCAGTAATTCCCAAAGTTATATTTACATAAGTGCTATTCAGTAACAGTTTGTTTGGTCCGTGCAAAACAAAAATAAGGAAAAGATTTTGTGCAAATGAAGTTTATTCATTTTAAAAGTCTGTTTTATTCTGTTAAATCTGTCATGTTTTGGGAGCATATAAAATGCCCCTTTTATTTTATTTTTATTTTTTAAAGATTTTATTTATTTATTTAACAGAGACATAGCGAGAGAGGGAACACAAGCAGGGGGAGTGGGAGATGGAGAAGCAGGCTTCCCATGGAGCAGGGAGCCTGATGTGGGGCTCGATCCCAGGACCCTGGGATCATGACCTGAGCTGAAGGCAGACGCTTAAGGACTGAGCCACCCAGGTGCCCCTAAAATGCCCCTTTTAAAAACAGGGGATGGGATTAGGTGGTATTTGCAATTTTCATTTACTTGTCAAAAGCGGTAATTCTTTCTAAATTTTACATTGAAACGTTTTTATTTTGGTCTTTGAAATTCAGAGGTCTTAGAATCACTGGCCTATAGCACATGATCGCTAATACCCTAATTATGGCACATAAGATGGATGGGTTTTGAAATATGTAATGAATTTCATCTCTAATGCTACTCCAGTTGATTGATTGATGCTCTGTGGAGGACTTGGTGTGGAAGGCTTGTGCGACCAAGTTTGTACTAAGCTGAAGCCACATTCATTGGGCAAAATATCCTCTGTTTAAGGGATGAATGAAATCCTGATCTGGCCCACTTCTCCTTATTCAGCTTTGCATCTTGACTGCTTTTCTATGTGTGCAAGGTTTATTCTGTAGAGTTACCGTGAACTAATATAGTTCCCTGAAAGCATGCGGTATGCTTCTTGAAGCATTAAAGAAAAAGATACTTTGAACAATTATGGTTGAAGTATTGTGTTCTTATATTTTAAACCTACATTTTTAAGGGAACAAACTAATCCTTATCCTTTTTATGCCTTATATTGACTAAATTGCTTAACCAGTTAAAGAATTAGGGGGAAGTAAAATAGTTTGTACGTTCTGAGTGATTTTTGTGTTACGGATTATTTGTGTATACTTAACGTGTTAAAGGAGAAAACCTTGAGTTAAGAGTTTTAATATATACTGTGTTTAATATGTACTCATTTATGTTTCTTGCTTCACTGATGAAAAACTTTCAAATCAGAATTTAAAAAAAAATACCATTTATTAGTGATACATGACTGTATTTCTGAGAATGGGCATTAGATCCAGGATGAATTTTTTATTATTTGAAAAACCTTTTTTGGGGGAAAGCCTGGGTGGCTCAGACGGTTAAGCATCTGCCTTAGGCTCAGGTCATGATCCCAGGGTCCTAGAATTGAGTCCCACATGGGCTCCTTGCTCAGCGGGGAGTCTGCTTCTCCCTCTGCTTGCCGCTCCCCCAGTTTGCTCAGTCTCTTTCTCTCTCTCTCCCTCTCTAACAAATAAAATCTTAAAAGAAAAATCCTGTTTTTATAGTTTTCATAATGTTTATATATTAGTGCTTTTCTTGTTCCTTTAGGAAAGGAAACCAGTTCCTCAGGAGTTTGAAATATTAAACCAAGAAAACAAATGATTATAAGATTTGCTCTTCACTTGTTTCTAACCAAGTGATTATATACAGTTACATGGAAGATTTAATCTAAATCAGATTGATTACCCAGCAAAGTACAATTACAGTATAAAGTAAAGGGGCACGTGAGTAAAAAGGAACAAAGACTATGAAAAACCTTCATGGTAGAACAATTTGTGCTTATGAGGAATGAATGAAATTGGGGATTAAATTTAATAGACTGAATGCAAGCATTCTGTTGTTCCATTAGAACACTTTTTTTGTTTTAAAAAACTTACAGTCTACATCAGCATCAGCATCTGCATCACCATTTCAGTCTACGTGGTATAGTGAATCTGAGATAACTCAGGGAGCACGATCAAGATCACAAAACCAGCAACGGGATCATGATTCAAAAAGACCTAAACTTTCCTGCACAAACTGTACATCTACCTCAGTCGGGAGAAATATTGGACATGGTTTAAATGCAGTATCAGGTAAGAGTTAAATCTGTGTAAGAGTCACTGTATATGCAGTTTGGACTAAAGCCCTTTTTCCAAGACATAGTGGTATTAAGCAAGTAGAATGCATGTAACATAGTGGGTCAAATGTAGTAGAGTTTCTCACATCTTAAGTTAGTGCTGCAACTGAAATAAACTCTTCGTTTTGGATTTTTCTAAATTTGATACAAATATTCTACACAAACAGGATTAGCATATTTTGATTAATTAGAATAGCTGATATGCATGGTAATCAAATTGGTAAAAGTGACATGTATTTTGCCGGTTTTATATAAGAAGTCAGTTTTTTAATTGTTACACTAGAAAGGCACATTTACTTATATATATTAGTATTTCCTATCCTAAGCATATCTTTTGCAAATGTTGTGGTCTATACTTATTTTTCAGAAACAGAAATTCTTTAAACAAAACTAGTTGGTATTTTAGTAGGAGTTCTATATAAGGAATCTGAATGTGGGCATTTTAGCCATCTAACTAGCTATATGGCATTGGACAAGTCACTTAACCATTCTGGGATTTAGGTGTCTTATCCAAAAAGCTCCATACATGGTATTTTGTACTCACAGACACACATTTGTTGCACAAATTGAAAAGCTCTTTCTTTTTCTTGAGAGGGCAAGAGGTTCCCTCCCCACTTACACTCCTCTTCAAATGAAACACCAGGGAATGCCTGAAATAGTTTTAAGATGAGACAGAATTTGTGATGACACAGTTGGAAGATAAAATTCGTGAAATGCTTATGTATTATCAGTTGAATTAGTGTAAGTGATTCCTTTCTATTTTGATAGACAGGACCTCCTTGGGAAAGACACTGCCCATCTGAAGAATATTAAGAGTAGTGTGATGGGTAAGAGCAGACTGTCCTTAACACTGTAGAGAAACAACAGATATTTTTGGTCTCTTCTACTCTGTGAAGGCATAGCATTAAATACCCTGGGCCATTTCCCTTAATGAGGAGGCATCAATAAGGCTATTGGGACTAGGAAAGGAAGAACCAAAATTTTCAAGGTAAATAGGGGCAAGGTTGTGAGATTTTTGTCAGGTATGATTTCATTTAAAAAGATTATGATTGCAACAGTACTTTAATTCTTAGAATAAGAGTGAACCAAGTGCGATGTCAATGATAATATTTCTGATAAAATATTGTCAATATCTATAGTAAAACATTTTCCATTTTGAGATGGCTTGATTTTGATTTTGGCTGTTCTCTCCAGCATCACTTTCATTGACTTTTCAGGAAATTCTGCATCTTTGGCAGGCTTTGCATTTTTGTTCTATAGTTATTTTACATTATGTTTACACTGTGTGGTCAGATGTTCTAGAAAGTGACTGAGACATTGGCATCATAGATGGGTGGTAGGTTTTAATGTTAGAGAAGAATGTGTTTCTGAGTAGGAAATAATTTTATAAGTGATGAGTTCATTAATGAATAATTTTATGTTTTGCTGAGTTTTGCTTCTCATTGTAACTGTGTAACCTTGAAGATTCCTATAATAAATCACAATAACCTCCCTGTGTAATACTGAAGATTTGTCATCAGAAACCTTGAAAGCTTTCTCTGAATTAAAATGTCTTCAATTATTTTAAGATTCTTCATGGAGACATAATCAAGTTCCCAGATCTTCATCAATGGTACTTGGATCATTTGGAACTGACTTAATGAGAGAGAGAAGGGATTTAGAGAGAAGAGCAGATTCTTCCATTAGTAATCTTATGGATTATAGTCACCGAAGTGGTGATTTCACAACTTCATCATGTAAGTATAAGTTGTATTGTTACGTGTAACTTATCTAATAACGTTATATTTCTCTCTTTCTGTGTGTAATTAAAATCACAGTACAGATGAATACATGAAGTGCATCTTGTGAAGATTTCAAAATAGCTTAATAATGTATTCTAGTACCTTATTACGTTTTAAAAAAAAAATAAAAAGTTTAAAATAGATGTACATTGGTATCTAGGTTCTGTCTACCTATAATTTTCTTAACTTATGCTTTTCCTTTGAAGAATGCATATGTTCTAGGGCGCCTGGGTGGCTCAGTTGGTTAAGCGACTGCCTTCGGCTCAGGTCATGATCCTGGAGTCCCGGGATCGAATCCCACGTCGGGCTCCCTGCTCAGCGGGGAGTCTGCTTCTCCCTCTGACCCTCTTCCCTCTCGTGTTATCTCTCATTCTGTCTCTCAAATAAATAAATAAAATCTTTAAAAAAAAAAAAAAACGAATGCATATGTTCTAAATTATACTAAATAGGGGTGCCTGGGTGGCTTAGTCGTTAAGCGTCTGCCTTCAGCTCAGGTCATGATCCCAGGGTCCTGGGATTGAGCCCCGCATCGGGCTCCCTGCTCAGCAGGAAGCCTGCTTCTCCCTCCCACTCCCCCTGCTTGTGTTCCTTCTCTAGCTGTGTCTCTCTCTGTCAAATAAATAAATGGAATCTTTAAAAATAAAATAAATTATACTAAGTAATTTTTGTATACCCTAATATCATTTGCCTTATACATTTACCCTTGAACAATGCAGGGGTGAGGGAACCGATACCTATCTCCCCCCGTCCTCCAGTACTGGCACTTGAAACATCTATGTATAACTTCTGAATCCCCAAAAACTTCAGTACTCAAACCGTACTGCTGACTGGAAGCCTTACCAAAAACATAAACAGTTGATACATACTTTTTATGTTATATGTATTATGTAATGTAGTCTTAACAATAAAGCAAGCTATAAAAAAAGTTACTAAGAAAGTCATAAGAGACAGTACATACATAATACCTACTGTATTTACTGAAAAAAATTCTGACCTAACTAAAGCTTGAAATCAACATGTTGGCATAATTTAGAATTCCTTTGTTTAACGTGAATGTGCCTTTATTTTCATTCAGTTGGAATAAAGACCCACACTATTTCTGTCAGTGTACATTAAGCTTAAGGTTTTCAAAATTAAATACTATGAAACAGAAATACTGAAAAACAGAAAGTGCTTTTTGAAATTGGCAGATCTAGCAGACAAAAGTGGAGTTTGATTTACATAGAAGAAAATACATATGTTCTTAAAGGTGTAGGTTATTTTAAATAAGCTTATTGGGGCAAGCCTTTGCTTAAGACAGTGAAAACATCTTTTTATTTGCTTGGCTTCAGATGGAGGAGCTGTAATATATAGTATCAATACCATCTATGCTTGGAGGTCTGCAAGTATAGGATAGAATAGATTTGGCCACTAAGTTTATCCCTTCACGAGGCTCCCTGTGTTAGTGCAGTAGCAGTCTTACTCTTAAGTAGGTGTATGGATGAGTATTCCTTATAAAGAAAGGCAAAAGTATTTCTCATCCCATTTCAAGATTTGAACCACCAGTAGTATACTTTTCAAAATTGCAGCTACCAGGGCCCTATTCTGATTCAACTCCCAGCAAGTAGAGGTATGTCTGATGAGTAACCAGAGATAACATCCACTGCTCTTAATTTGAAAGAAAAAAGATTGGAGAAAGTTTTAGCTGTTTGCCATAAAATTCTAAGGATGATAATATTTGTGTGAAGTAAGTTTTATGCTAATTACAGAGTGAGAAGAATCTCCAAAACACACTCCCTAGAATTATTTTGCCTTTATTTGTTGTGAGAGTCATTTACAGTGAATTATTTGGCCCATTTAAAATTCCTTGTCCATTTAGATATTATCCTATCATATCAATTTCTGATTAACAAATTCAGACTGTTATACTTTCAAGAAGTTAGTAGATTTAGATGTTTATTTCATAAGCTGTGACACATTTCTTTCAGTTTACAATGTACTGGATTTTATCAAAGGTATAGAAAGAAATATATTTATGTTTTTTTCCTGTAATAAGAGTTAAGCTGTGTATTTATAATATAGCAGTATTTGGTTTGAATCCAGTATTTCAGTTTACAGTAATTAATAAATGCACATTTAATAATGCTCAAATTTTTTCACGTAATTGGTATCTTTCTTTTCTTTCAAAAATAGATGTTCAAGACAGAGTTCCTTCTTCATATTCACAGGGAGCAAGACCAAAAGATAACTCAGTGAGCACTTTACAGTTGAATACATCATCCACAAACCACCAAATGCCTTCTGAACATCAGACCATACCATGTTCTAGGGACTCTAGTAGAAATTCTCTAAGATCAAATTTTTCTCCAAGAGAATTGGAATCTTCCCAAAGCAGTACACAACCTGGATTTTCTTATATTTCAAATAGAGATGAAACCTCAAGCAGTTCAGATAGGGTTGGTTCATCTCAAAGATCATTTCAAGAATCTTCTGACAACGAAGGTAGACGTTCAACCAGGAGATTGCTGTCGCGTATAGCTTCTAGTATGTCATCTACCTTTTTTTCACGAAGATCTAGCCAGGATTCCTTGAATACAAGATCATTGAGTTCTGAAAATTCTTATGTGTCTCCAAGAATCTTGACAGCTTCACAGTCTCGTAGCAATGCAGCATCAACTTCTGATGTTCCCGATAATAGGGCATCTGAAGCTTCTCAGGGATTTCGATTTCTTAGGCGAAGATGGGGTTTGTCCTCTCTTAGCCAAAATCATAGCTCTGAGCCAGATTCAGAAAATTTTAACCAAGAACCTGAAGGTAGAAATACAGGACCATGGTTATCTTCCTCACTTAGAAATAGATGCACACCTTTGTTCTCTAGAAGGAGACGAGAGGGACGAGATGAATCTTCAAGGATACCTACCTCTGATACACCACCTAGATCTCATCATATTTTTAGAAGAGAATCAAATGAAGTGGTTCACCTTGAAGCACAGAGTGATCCCCTTGGGGCTACTGCCAACAGATCACAAGCATCTGCAGCTTCAAGTAATGCTGCTACAGGTGGCTCCACATCAGATTCAGCCCACAGTGGAAGAAATACAGGAATAACAGGGGTCCTTCCTGGTTCCTTATTTCGATTTGCAGTCCCCCCAGCACTTGGAAATAATTTGACTGACAATGTCATGATTACTGTAGATATTATTCCTTCAGGTTGGAGTTCATCTGATGGAAAAAGTGATAAAACTAAAAGTGCACCTTCGAGAGACCCAGAAAGACTGCAGAAAATAAAAGAGAGGTAAATTTGAATACCTGTCCTAAGTTCTTAAAGTGAAGAGCAGATCAGAGGAAGAAGTCCTTTTCTAGGAACGGTTTCTCATAACATTGGTATCTGAGTTTTCTTTTCCTTAAAATTTATATCCACTAAGATGTTAGATTCTCAAAGGAAATGGATGACAATTAATAAGGTAGGCACTGGGAGTATAGATTGCATCAAGAAATAATCTAAAGATTATTTTTAACCAGCTTTTGGTACAGATGCACAAAAAGACAAAAATCTTAATCTCTTACCTGTTCCTTGGTAGATTAAATGGGATTGGTCAAGGGGCTCCAGTGGTTATGGGTTATCAAAACAATCTGTCTTAGCGTTTACTGAGATTTATTTACCATTTATTTGTATTTCTTATCTCAGACTGTTTTTCGGAATGAGGTAAAATCATTTACCCAAATTATTTTTTTTGAAGTCCAGGTATATATTGAATATTCTTTGTATATTGTGAATATTTGATAGAAATACTAGTTTAAATTCAGGACTTAGAATCTTTTTATGTAAATGTATCTTTGTAGGGCGCCTGGGTGGCTCAGTCGGTTAAGCGACTGCCTTCGGCTCAGGTCATGATCCTGGAGTCCTGGGATCGAGTCCCACATCGGGCTCCCTGCTCGGCGGGGAGTCTGCTTCTCCCTCTGACCCTCTTCCCTCTCGTGCTCTCTCTCATTCTCTCTTTCTCTCAAATAAATAAAAAATCTTTAAAAAAAAAATATCTTTGTAGAGTTGAAGATTGCTTAAAAATCTCTGGTAAGAGGGAAAAGTTGAAAAATCAGAGATTTTAGTCCCAACTTGATTATTTTGTCATGTTAGTGTACTTAGTTTTTCCGACTATTAGGATAATTTTTATAAAAAATAATTTTCCTGATAAAGCAGATTAGGATAGTACATGTAAAATAAACTTGTAGGAAGAAAAGACTTAGTTCGAAGGCTGTGGGGTGTTTTGTGTTTTTGTTTTTTTCTCGTTCATAAAGCCCTATTGTAATGGAATTGTTGGGAAGCATAGTTGTTACTGTTGTTTTAGATTTTTTTTTTTTTTTAAGAAGAAATACTTTCAAATCTAACTCTGGGGACAAAGGGAACTGAGATGTTGGACATGAGGCCACAACATTCCATTTTTTCCTTATGTAGGACAAATTGTACCATGGGACTATTTTCCTACACTTAAAGTGTGCTGTTTTTCCTTGGAGAAAGATTCACTGCCCTGGTAGTGTTAGCTTTAATGTCATTATAGCAACTCCCTCTGATTACAAGCTGTCTGCTGAGGAATTTAGTAACTATTATATTTCCTGTGTTCAAAGTTAGGTTAATTTGAGTGCAGTGGTATAAGTAGAGCAAAGCGTTAGTTTAGTAATTTCCAGAGAGAAACAAATTAAGCCAGTACCACCCTGTCTGGCTAGATAGTTTATAAAGCAGCATTTGTTGGTTATTTTGTCATAAGAGACTGTATGTGTATTCCTTTATTATATATTTTGCTCATACATGAAGATTTTAAGATACTCTGCAGGTAAATTAATAAGAATCTAAAAAATTGAACCCCCCAAGTAAAAAATAATTGAAACTATAAGCCAAAGAAGGTTTAATCTGAAGGTAAAACAAATATTTATGCTTGAGGTTATATCTCTGGTTCAGCCAGAGCATGATAGTCACTTAGTCATTGTGCATCTAATCCTCTTTCCACACATCTTTTGCTAAATTCATTAGGAACCTGTATAATCCACTTGTATTTCAGTAGCAGTTTAAGCATTCAGTTGTTTTAATTTACTGAGTACCTCTTTCATGTCAGCAGTGGACTAAGGTAATAGGGATTTTAACAAAAAAATTACACACACACACACACACACACAGCTATCATTTTGCATTTAAATTAAGCAGTACATGTTGGCCTATTAAATAGAGAACATAGGTTAATGGAAAGGCTTCACACTTTAAAAGCCTGCACTGTAAGAGTCAGGATGACTGAATAACATTGCAGCAGGTGGGGGAAATGGAGAATTTAAAAACCTATTGTTTTTTACTGTGATTTAATACAAAAAGTCTTATCAGTTTAAATATATGTGGTTCTGATAGCATGTAAATGAAAAAAACACAGGTCATTATTTAATTTATTGAAGTTGTCCTAAGAGTTTTTTTTAGGAGTGGGGGAGAAAAGTGATAAGTATATATGTATATTCCTTTATACTATTGGAATTTGAAGTAGTCTGTGATACTGTAAAAAATAAAATCTCTTAGGGATGTTTGTAAAGTGATCATGAAAAATAAGGAACTTAAAGTGTGATATCGAAGGCAAAATTACTTAAAAGCATTTGGAGATAATAGGAGATACCCTGTTTCATTTACCTTTAAAATACTGTAATTTTCATTCTTATTGAACTGGTTTTTTTATGGTGGTCGCTGTTTTTTAAGGTTTTTTGCTTCTACTCAGAACATGAGTAGAAATAACAAAGACATTGTTTGAGATTAGGTATGATTGGAAATGACCAACCAGGATGAGTTATCATAGCTATTTATAAAACTTTCCTTCTTTTCTAGCCTCCTTTTAGAGGACTCCGAAGAAGAAGAAGGTGACTTATGTAGAATTTGTCAGATGGCAGCTGCATCATCATCTAACTTGCTAATAGAGCCATGCAAGTGCACAGGAAGTTTGCAGTATGTCCACCAAGAATGTATGAAAAAGTGGTTACAGGCCAAAATTAACTCTGGTGAGATTTACCTTTTTATGTATTTTATTCTCACAGTTTTTCCAAGAGATGTATGTATAAATGCATTTTAGTTAGCAAATCTGATTATAATTTATTGTGAAAGTTATACACTTACAAACTATGTTATTTTTTGAAGCAAAAGTACTAAAGAGCATTCATTAGTCTTTGTAAATTTAATTTCTCATAGTGTTTGTTTTTTTTTTTTTTAAGATTTCATTTATTTATTTGATTCAGAGAGATACAGCGAGAGAGGGAACACAAGCAGGGGGAGTGGGAGAGGGAGAAGCAGGCTTCCCGCTGAGCAGGAAGCCTGATGTGGGGCTCGATCCCAGGACCCTGGGATCATGACCTGAGCCGAAGGCAGACGCTTAACGACTGAGCCACCCAGGCACCCGTCTTATGTTTCATTAACCCAACAAACTACTTTTTCATAGATGTTTGATAACTATAATTGATTATCACGGTTGATCCTTACATGTCATGTAAGATCCTTTTGAATTGAAGAAATACTACTATTTACTAGCTATGTGTCCTTGAGAAATACTTGTTTTTGTAATGCTGTTGTGCAGTAATAATGTTACTGTAGGAATTCATTGTTTATTGAGTACCCGTTAGGCAGCCAGGCACAGTTCTAAATGTGGGATCTAGAATGGTGGACAAGACAGACAAGGCACTTGCTTTGGTGGTGGTATTGGGTGTTAAAGGAATGCCTTGCTGAGGTGAGGACATTTAAACTGAACAAAGGAGGAGCTAGCTATTCCAAAAGGAGGACAAAAGCATTCCAACTGAGGAAACTCCTAGTGTGAAAACTTTAAGGTGGTAGCATGACAGGTGTGTTTGAGGAACTGAAGGAAATGCAGTGTGGCAGGAGTATAATGGGCAAGGGGAAGGGTGATACAGTTGAGAGTAAGAGATTAGCAGAGGTTATCTCATTTAAGACTTTTAAAACGAATGAGGTTTAGATTTTTGTCTTAAGTGTGATGGGAAGCCACTGAAATCAGGGGAGTAAAATGATGTTATTTTGGTTGCTCTTTGGACAGTGGATTTTAGGGGGACAGGAGTAGAGGTAGGGAGTCTGTCCAGGAATCTATCCTTTGTTTTTTGTTTCTTTAAGATTTTATTTATTTGTTTGACAGAGAGATAGCCAGAGCAGGAACACAAGCAGGGGGAGTGGGAGAGGGAGAAGCAGGCTTCCCGCCGAGCAGGGAGCCTGATGTGGGGCTCGATCCCTGAAGGCAGACGCTTAACGACTGAGCCACCCAGGCGCCCCCAGGAATCTTATCTTAAAAGAGATGGTGATGGTAGTGGTAGAAATGGATGGATTCTGGTATGTTTGGGAGGTAGATTCTGTATGACTTGCCAAAGGATTGGATGTAGTGAAGGAGAAAGAACAATTTGAGAAGTTTGTATTTTTGCCTTGAGCAACTAAGTAAATGGTGGGGCCATTTACTGAACTAAAAGAAAAGTAGGAATGGAATAAGTGTGGGGCAGGAAATAATTCTGTTTTAGACATAAACTGCTTATTAGAGAAGCATCTAAAAATGTCATCTAGGCAGTTAGTACACAAACCTGGTGTTTCAGGAGATCATTAGTTCTGAAAGTTACATTTTGGGGAATTAGAGCACATAAGTAATAATTTTAAGCTATGGGATTAAGTAAAATTTCTAGAGCAAGAACCAGATATCAAAGGAATGCCAGGACAGAGCCCTGGGGCACCCAAGCATTTAATGGGAGCAAAGGAGATTTGAGGAGTAGCCTCAATCTGGTAGGAAGAAAACTAAGAAAATGTAGTATTGTGCAAGCCAAAAGAAGAAGGTGTTCTGAAGAGGGTATGATCAGTCCTGTCAAGTATCACAAAGAGATATGAACAAAGAAATGGCAGTTGGTAACATGAATGTCCTTGGTGGCTTCAGTTTTTGTGGAGTGGTGGAATCATGAGCATGATTAATGGGATTGAGAGAAAAGGTAAGACAGGAAACAGCCACATAGACCCCTCTTCCAATAAGCTTTATTGTTAAGGAGACTGGTGATAAGGGGGAGGAATTGGGGAGTAAAATGAGGTCATAGGACGTGTTTTTTGTTTTAGTTTGAAGTGGGAGATTTTAGGGCATCTTTTATTTTAATAAAAGATAACAATGGAAAGAAAAAAGTTTTAGCCTTTAATAGGAAAAAAAATTACTTTATATCTAGAAGGCTGGTGTAGATATGGATATGGCCAGTTTGTTGCTTTGATGAGAGGATGCTTGCTTGAATTCCTGTGTAATTACAGTTATTTCTGTTTTCTTAATAGAAAGAGGTAAGGTCTTTAGCTGATTAGGGGACAGGTTAAGAGATTTTGATATGTAGGGAAAATAATACTTGAAGACGTCTTTAGGGTTTTCTGGAGGTACCAGTGTCCATAAAAATCTGTGGCTCTGAATATGATTAAAAAGTGAGATGTACATTTTTCTAGAAGCAGTTTTCAGATGTTTGGATATAGACATGGATTTGAGTTCTCTGGGGTTGGGATCTTTGCTAGGCAAATAGGATGAAGAGAGTTAAGGATATTCGTAAGGACATAGCAGTGGTGGCCATGGAAAATAAAGTCACGAGGGGGAGTATAAGGACATCAGGAAGCGGATAGTGAGAAAGTGGTAGGGTTAGTGTCTGCGAGTCTCATTGACATGGGAGAGAATTGCCAGAGTAGGTAACCTGGAATGCTGAGAAGTTGTGGGTATACTGGAGAAAATGCCTAAAATACAGATTTAGGGGTAGTACAGAAAACTATGATGACAGAGGCATGGGTATGACTGTAGGGAATGGCTGGGCTGGGGAAGGGTAATACTTAGAAGCATGGATGTTGAGGAAGTGTGTGTGGATATGGAAGTAGTCCAGAAGTTGATAAAGATGGAAATCCAGGTGCTAAAGTTATTAATGAAAGAGGATGGACTTAGAGTTTCAAAATAGCAATTAGGTATAGGGGTTATTTATTTCTCCTTCTTGGTCCTGAGGTACAAGGGGTTGTTGTGGGGAAAAAAGTATGTATCAGTCTAGAGGGGCACTGTGATTTAGACATGAAGTTGAAGAGATTAATCAAAAAAAGAGACTGGTTATGAGAAATTTAGACCATAAGTACCAGAGGACATAGTGAAAATGACTAGTAGGGTGAGAAGGGTGGGAAATTGGATCAGATTAGTAAATGGACACACTTGTATGAGATTGACGGTCTGATATACTAGTTGGTAGCATAGGAAAATCATTTGTGAGGTATGATGGCATTAATACTAATTTTAATAATCTTTTGGAAGAGTTGGGTAACCTGTTCAAGCTGGAGATTATGAGGCTCCTGGGAAAATTTTGTTTGTGTGTAGCTAGGTAGCCACGGCCTTCTTGGGGTAGAGGGCCTATGTTTTATTTTAAGGTAGTCTGATCCCAAAGCTGTGGGACAGACCTATCTCACCTGTAGCAGCCTTTTCTTAGCTATATGGTGTTATGACAGCCTCTTGGCTTTATTAAGTCAGTGCCCTGGGGCATTATTAAGATGAAATGAGTGTTCAGCATGGAAGCATTTGTTCTTGGCCCAGGAATGTTAGCCATTACCAAAATGAAAAACAACATGATTCACCTTCTGATAATATTTGCAGTTACATTGTTAGTGTTGTGTAGGCAGGAAAACAGATAATACAGTGTGTTAAGAACATAGGCATTTTGGAATTAGACAAAACTAGATTGGGATAATGGCTCTAACACTTGACTGGAAGATCTCGAGTAAGTTTTTTAACATTGGTTCTCAACCCTGGCTGCTGATCACAATTACCCATTAGAGTTTTTCAAAAATATATATGCCTAGATCTAGTTTGGGACATTCTTAAGTAGTTCTGGGATTGGGCCTCAGTTCCATTATGAGTCAAACTGAGTAATATTTACCACACAGGGTTGATGTGAAGGTCAAATGAGATGATGTTTATAAATAGTTTCTCACAGTACGGGGCGTGTGGTAGATACTCAATTTGATGGGTTTTATCAGGTTATGATAAGTACTTTCTAAGATATGGTCAAATGAATGTAAAGATCTCAAGATCTGAACCTTCCTGATAAATTTTCACAAGGCTTTCTCATACTTACGTGAAGACCCATATGGTAGAAGATTCATTCTGGTAGAGATTGATTTAAACATTTATTAAGCAGCTGCCATGTATGGACTGTTAAATTCTGCAGGATGTGCAGAGATGAATAAAGCAAGTCTGTAGACGTACGAGTTTAGACAAATGAGTCAGGGCCTACTGAAGGGCGTGGGGTATACATGGAAAGAGCCCTGGACTAAACAATATAGGCATAAATGGACTTTTCCCTGCTGTATATGACCTTTTTGAATATTGTTCTATAAGTCACTTAATTCCTAGAAGAGGAAAAATGAATCCCTAAGATGTGTAAGAATTTGTACTAAATGGTCTATCTCCAAGGTCCGTATTTTATAATCATACTTTTCCTGCTTCTGAATCAGAGGATAGTTTTAGGAAGTGTCTGCTAAATATCTTTCACATTCTTTATATTCTCCTTCAGGTCATAATATGGACTTACCCTGAATTTAGTTCAGTGGATATACTGATTTTTTTTTTTAATTAAAATATTCCAGATGGCATTTTAATTTCAAAATCTTTAAGTACGTTAGACTCCTAAAACAGCAACAACAACAACTAGGTTTTATTCATTCCTTGAAATACTGTGAATATCTTACGTAGTTTGACTACAAGACATTTTGAGACAACATACTGCCTCACAATAGCACTCACTTTCTGTTCAGGTATTTTCAAAAGAAAATGCATATAAATTACTATGACTGTCTTGGACTTTATGCCAAATTTTACTGTTTTAAGAGTTTTAAGAGCTCCTTGAAGACAACAGGGGTTACTACTTTTTCCCATCTAAATTTTGGCACATAACAAAGTCAACAAATGGTAGCTGAATTGAATCTAAACCTCTACACTGCTAATCACATGACTTCTCAAACTTTTAGGACATCTTTTTCAGTTCAAAGCTCTAAAAATAAAAACGTTGGTTGGGGGTGGGGAAATGGCTATATGTTTAATGAGACAGACTGTCATCTATTTAATTAGAGCCAGAAGCTTAGGAGTAACCCATAACTGAATGCATATGGGATAGAAGGAGCTTTTTTTTTCCCTTTTAATTGTGATAAAATATATATAATGTAAAATTTTCCTTTTGACCATTATTAAGTGTACAAATCAGTGGCCTTGAGTACATTCAGAATGTTGTGTGACCATTACCACTACCCACTTGCAGAATTTTATCATCACCCCAAACAAAACCTATCCATTAAGCAGCAACTCCCACTCCCCCCTCTCCCCAGTCCCTGGTAACTTACTTTCTCTCTGAATTTGCCAGTTCTACATAATTCATATAAATAGAATCATATTATAATATTTGTCCTTTTTGTATCTGCTTTATTTTACTTAGTAAGTTTTCAAGGTTCATCCGTGTTGTAGCATGTATCAGAACTTCATTCCTTTTGTGGCTGAAAGGAGCTGTTTTTATCTAGACAGAGGTGGATTCCTTTTTTCCCCTCCTCCCTTATGAGGAAGACACATTTCTTAGAGCACAAAAGGTCTGTATTGTCATATCAGAGATACTGGCCTGGGTATAGGTAACTCATTGTTTGGGATACTATATTATTTAAAATTGTTTTCATGGCATCTTGCCAAGGGACTTGAAGAGGAAGTAGAAGTACAGATGACATTCCACTGTCAGCTTCCCACTGACAGGGGTGGGGATGTATGTGCATTTCTGGGAGGCAAAAAACAATAGATACCTAAGTAATGGGCGTGGGCCTAAATTCCATAGATTAGGACCTGACAAGCACATTTGTGTTACCAATGCAATCTTACTTCCTTTTTCCCTTTTGATTTTGTATAATCTAAGCTTAAAATTTTACAAGGAGGTGCAGCCGGGTTGCTCAGTCCATTAAGCGGCTGTACGAGGAGGCGCACCTGGGTTGCTCAGTCGATTAAGTGGCTGCCTTTGGCCCCGGTCATGATATCCACGTTCTGGGATCAAGCCCCACATTGGGCTCCCTGCTTATCGGGGAGTCTGCTTTTCCTTCTGCCTCTTCCCCACCCCCCACCCTGCTCAGGCTCTCTCTCTCAAATAAATAAATAAAATATTTTTTAAAAACTAACTTTGCAAAGAAAAATATTTTGTGGAGACATAGCAGAACTAAGCTTTACTTTTAATTTTACCAGGTTCTTCATTAGAGGCTGTAACCACCTGTGAACTCTGTAAAGAGAAGTTGCAGCTTAACCTGGAGGATTTTGATATTCATGAACTACATAGAGCTCATGCAAATGAACAAGTTAGTATATTTTGCCTAATTTGGTAAGTGTCTATTCTATGCTTAAAGGACAACTCTTGAAGAAAAGATTAAATCATGGTCAGAAAACCTGCATTGAAATAATAATAGTAATATTTTTAATATAATTCTCTGTTATTACATTAGGTATTACATGATTTTATAATTTTGTATTATTTTTCCCCTAACTTTTTAAAGCGAAAGGCAAATAACCAAGTCACAGATTTTAAGTTTAAGGTAAAATTCATCATATGCTTTCTAAATAAACCTGAAAATAATAAAACTTAGGAAATTAGTCCCAAAGTAGTAATGCCAACCTTCTCTCCCCATAGCTGTCTAGTTGTGAATGCCTCTGAGTACTGGAAAATAATTGAAACACCAGTCCCCAGATCTGCATCCTAGTTCTGTATTTTTTATGTTAGGAATAATTTTTTTACCTACCTACCTGACGCCCCCTGTTCTTCCTCCTGTCTGGTTCCCTCTACCCTCCCTATTTGCCCCCATTCCCACTTCATTCTTTATGTTGAACAAGTTACCTTTTATGAAATCATTTATTCCAAGTTCACATTGTTTCTCTTTCCTTCAGTATTATATCACTACAGTCGTGCTGTTACTTATATAATGAATAATGTCGGGATTTCTCTGATCATATTAAGATTTTATTTCAAATATTTTCCTCTCATTTCTCAGATTTTTTGGTATGTATTGATCACTGCTCCCCACCCCTAACCCCCATTGATTTGATCACTCATTTTTCTTGAAGCTTAGAGCTCAGTATTTTTCCCTTTTTAAAGGAAAATTCAGGGGAGGGGGGAAGATGTTGAAAGAGATTACAAAGGATGACTCTAGAGCCATACTATCCAAGTGTGCTTAGCGTATTTGTGATAAAAAGAGATATGATGGTGAGAGAATGCATGAATGCTTGAAAAACACTTTTTAAATGAGGGAATGGAGTAATGGACACCTCCCCCCCCTTTTTAAATTGAAGTTTATGTAACAACCATTTTAAGTTAAACAGTTTATTGGTACTAGTACATTTGCAGTGCTGGGCAGCCATCACTTCCATCTAGTTCAGGACATTTTCATTTCTAAAAGAAAATCCTATCCCATTAAGCAGTTGCTCCCTCCCCCTTCTTCCATCCCCTGGCAACCACCAGTCTGTGTTCTGTCTCTATGGATTATTCTGGATATTTCATATAAATGAAAACATGCAATATATGATCTTTTGTGGACACTCTTCACTTTTTAAATGTGGGAATATGGATACCCTTTGAAAATCTGGTTAAGACCAGAAACACTCCTTACAAAATATACATAGACACAAAATCTGTACATAATTTTACAGATTCCCAGATCTCTTGAAGCTCATTGCTTACATCCAGGTTAAGAGTCACTGATCTAATGAATGAAACATTAGGCAGTTGCTGTGGTACAGATGCTACTCTAATGTTAATTATTGTTTTATTCTTTAATGAAGAATACTCCAAAAGGTACTTCAAAGGGAATATCACTTTCAGTAAGGAATTGTCTTAAATTCTTAAGACGTCTCTCTAGACAGGTGGACATTGGTATTTTAAAGAATTGGCGGTGGGGGGGGAAGTATGGAAAGGTGCAATAATGCAAAGAATTTTGCGGGTTTTTTTGTTCTTGGTTTTTTTGTTTTTGTCTTCTCAAAGTTTGAGTAGGTTTCAAAGGATGGTTTTCTCCTGCCATTCTTTCTTAAGTGCTCCATCATGTCTCTTGAAGGTGGTTTTTGGCTTTTCAGTATAGCTAGGAATGTTTTTATTGTTCTTCAAGGATTTAAATGACAGCCTTGATTAAACTTCCTGGCTTTAACATCTTGGTTCTTTGTGAATCATGGATTCTAGTGGCCTGACAACTACCCTCATTTAAATACAGTTTATTTTTTCATTATCCAGTACCTTCATCTTTTTCAAGGTGATAACCATTAAACTCTTTTTTAAATTTTCTAGATACATGATTTCCCTTAAGCAGTTAATGAAGTATTTAGAGAAACTTTTAATCAGTTTGAAATTTGCTGAGTATTCTCAAGAATCTGTAATCAGTAACTCGCTCAAGTTCGTACTAAGAACATACAGTTCTTAACTTCAGATAAGTTAATTATCAAAAATGATGCAATCTACAGATAGTTCACTGTGTAACAATTACAGAACAATTTAGATTTTTAATAACACTATATTCATGTTTTGTATTCTTAGCTTCGAAACAATAGAACAGCTTTGAGCCAAAGAACTATTTTGCCCACTGCAAATTTCTATGGGAATGATAACTGGAAGTTACTTTACTTCATAAGTTCATTTTTATATCTGCTGTTGCCTTTAAATTAGTTAAATTACATAAGAAACACTTGACCTCTCAGAGTAGGATTTTAGTTACGTAATATATTGATATAGCTGTAGATGAAATGCTAATTTTTAAGTAAACAGTTATAGCCATCTGTGTAAAGAGATCTGTTTTGAGCTTTAGAGGGAACCATAGCATTCATTCTACCATCAAATGAATTTTTTTCCCACTTTTATATAAATAATTACATAAGGGAAGACTACATGAGAATAAAGAGGTTATTTATGCACCTATTTGAACACATAAAACATTAGTAAAATTTTATGAAACTACGAAGGATGGGTTTTTATTTCTTTTTTAATAGATGTCACTGTATCTCTTTCTAGGAACTGATTATAAATACATTTCCTCTAGTTTATCAGTATACTATGAGTATCAGTCTCATTCGACTAATTTTTCATTCTCCATATTTTTCTTTTTCTCTTGTTTGCTTCCCTGTTGAAGGCTGAGTATGAGTTTATCAGCTCTGGTCTCTACCTAGTTGTGTTATTGCACTTGTGCGAACAAAGCTTTTCTGATATGATGGGAAATACAAACGAACCAAGCACACGTGTCCGAGTAAGTAATATTGGAGTGGGGGGGATGGGAGGGTGCGATGCTGCAGGTGTTTGCTTTGGAAAGCACATTGTTTTATATGTTCACATTCTATTTTCTTTGGGGAGTTCTTCTTACATTAAAGTGTATCTTAAAAATAAAGATACTGTAGATTTAATAGAAATTGCTGTCTTCCTTCTGTATCAAACAGCTTAATTTTTTTCATAAAGCTATTTTTAGAGAAGTAATTTTCTAGCTCTTGAAGGTAATTGGAATGTATTTCAGTGAAAAACAGGGATGGAATTGAAAACACCTAGGGGAAATGCTCTTTTTAATTGGGGAGGGAAAATCCAACTCATTATTACAACTTTGAAACCTGACATTGAAATTGAACTCCAAAAACCAAGAGTATGGGAAATTAACTTCAATTTCATTTGTTACTATCCTATAAAAGATTACCAGTGTACTAATTTTTAGCATTCATATTACAAACTACTGAAGATATGGACCATTGTGTGTTTACTCTGTTCACTCTTATCTTAATGTAACACTTGAGCTAGCTGTTTTTTAGGTGCTCATAAGTAAAATGATACTACTTACCTCAGTGTACTGTAGGAAATTTATACTCTGCTGCCTTGCCCATTTTGTGTGGCAGGGGCTAGGGTCTACATCTCATTACTCTAGCATTGTGAACACTTCATATCTTGTAACGTGTTCACAAAGATATACTTCAAACTATTTTTTTAAAATAAATGTTCACTCCGATGATAAAAATAGAGCCGAGTTGCTGGTGGGATGTAATGTTTCTGTTTTATTTTGAAAATTATCAAATAACCAATACATATACTGCTTAATTGGTTAAAAAAGCATTTTTCTGTAATCATGTGAACATTATTCCTGTGAGCCTTTTGGACATTATCATTGAGAGAAAAAAGAATGAGCTATCAAGAGCATTCAGAACTTGAGCAAAGATCTCTTGACTTCTAAGAACTTAAGAAATCACAGAACCTAAATTTAGTAAATGCCATAAAATTATTTCTTAAAAGGTGACTTATCTTTTTAAAATGAATAAACCTTACATAATGCATATAATAAGATCTGTTGGATTCATGCCTTTGTAAAAAGATACAGACAGATTATATTAAAGTGGAAGTCTTTACTGAATTAAAATACTTCTGGAGCCATCAAATTTAGGCAGGAAAATATTGATTATTGTTCCTGTTTTGTTCTGTTTCGTTTGGTTTTTTTTTCATTGACCACTAAAAGTGAATTCATTTGTGTCCAAATTGTAATGGTTTTAATTTTTTTCTCCATAATTTTTGAGGTGTTGTATTTATGCAAGAAGACAGAATGCCATTGGATAAAATTATTTTATTGTATCTGTTTTCAGTTTCTACACAATTCATGATTTCTACATGACCATTTATATAATGATTATATACCAATTAAAAGATAGTATCCTAAGCTTGTAATTTTTGATGTGGGGGTAAAAAGACCCCTATTTAAAGGCTTAAAATGGTGTTTAATTTTTTTAAGTAGAAATGAATCTCCTATACTGATTCTCTTTTTAGATCCATTTGCAGCATTTAAACTACTATATTTCTTTCTGCATTGTTTCTAGTTTATTAACCTTGCAAGAACTCTTCAGGCACATATGGAAGATCTCGAAAGTAGGTGGAATTTCCCCTTCCCAGACTTGTTGAATTTACTTTTGCAAATTAAACCCATAGAGCAAAACCTAACTGTATATATATTCTTTCTACCAAATTAGAGCTTCATTTATAGGCCTAATAATAACAAAATAATTGATTTGGGAAAGATGGGTTGGGCAACTGACAGGTTTTTTAAAGCATTTTTTTTTTATTCCTTTAATTTTAAGGTACAGAAGGATGTATTTTAAGTATTTTATTTTGAATAAAATTTTATTTTTGAACACCTTAATTTTAAAACTTTTAATCAAAAAGAAAACGATTACTGGTCAGACCACACTTCTAAATCTGTTAGGTGTGTGTGTGTGTGTTAGGTGTGTGTGTGTGTTAGGTGTGTGTGTGTGTGTGTGTGTGTGTGTTAGGTTGTGTGTGTGTGTGTGTGTGTGTGTCTGTCTCTATGAAATTTGCCTTGTTATTCAGCTTTGTTAGATCGTTAAAGGTTTTCCCTGGGTTTGTTATAGTTCTAGGAAAATAGGGGTGAAAGATTCCTAATTCTGAGTCTATAACAGAAGCCATAGTTTTTTTTTTGCTCCTTATTCAGGTCCTCATGGACCTTTAATAGGCAGCCAGCTCCGCCAGCAGCTCCAATCTCTTAAGATCACGTTCCAGCATTAGGACTTCTGCCTGGGCTCCTATGTGAAGGCACTTAATGCCCAAATTTTACAGGCATCTGCACAGCTTAACCTCAAAGTCCTACAACCTCCAGGGTGCTTCATATCAGGTGGGCACAGACATTGGTGGCTCTCAAACAGTTCCTGGGAATCCAAGATTACCCTACCTATTGTACTTTTTCACCCAAAGCAACTGGCTTCCCAAGATCAGATTCCATTACACTCTTTGAAGTGTTTTAAAATACGTATTCTCCACTTGATTATCTTCTATACGTCTTCAAAACACTTGGAGTGTTATCTGTAGCGTGAATAACATTTTTACCTTTAGGGAAAGCTTAGCGTCCTTTGAAGTAAAGTTTGAGAAGGACCTGGTCTTCCTGGGAACCCTTTAATGCCTTGAATATTCTAAGACATGGATTTTTGTCATTAAGTCTGTACTGTTTTTAAGTTTTGAGAGGATTAGAGGTACAACCAGATAATGCATTTTCACATTTCAGTGTGTGTGAAAATGGTGTATAAAGGAGTAAGTGGTATATAAAATGGGAATTCATTTGGTATATTTTTTCTTTTATACCTTCTTAGTTCGGATCCCTTGTGTAGTCTAACACAAAGATCTCTTTTTTGGTCAGTTATAATTTATACTTTGCCAGATGTGATGATAGTAATTTGTTTCACTGTGTATTTTCCCCAGATTGCTTGTTTTGTTTTGTTTTTTAAACTAACATTCTCATTTAGAATTTAGTTTCCTAAACATAGCAGTGTCTACTCCCAGCATGTGAGAAAGATGGAGGTGAAATATACCCAAACTCAGCTGTGAGTGAAAGATGTGGGTGCTGCAAGCTTACTCCTAAGTACCAGAATTTTCATATGTTCTAAGAGTTGGTTCTGACTGAATTTTCTTCTCCTGTGGAGTTAATCAAATAGAAAACATGAGAAGTTCCCTGAAAAGCTGTTTTATTTTTTAGTTTGATATTTCTCCATGATACAGCATAAAACTTAACCATAGGATTTACTCATTCATGAGCTAAGTATATGCTTAATACCATTTATTAAAAATGGACTTAAGATTTCTGCAAGATAAATAGACTGAAATGTGGAAACTTAAGTTTCATCCATACATGTAGCATAATTTTTTTGTTGATTCCATTTGTTAGGTGCTCTTAAATATTGGGTCCAGTATTAATACAAGAAGAGTATACATTTAACCTTTCTGCCCTTGATAATAGGGGAAATGCTGGTTGGGTGTTTATTTTAGTGAACTTCCATTTTCCTCAACACATAGAACAGTTTATAGAATACATAGTTTTTTACTTATGTCCTTCCTATAGACATTCTAGGATGTGTATTTTAAACTTCTGAGCTATTTTAATAATAAATTGATGTCAGAAATAAGCAAAAATGATGTTTCTGACAATGTGGAAGCATAGGAATAATCTCAAAACATTTTTATTGAGTCCCCAATTATTTTAACTTAGGCTGTGTCTATATAAAGCTTTTTTGACTAAATGGAGCTTTTCTTGGCATTGTATAGACATAGCTTTTGATGTAAATTGCAAGAACACCCATAACCTGTTCTGTGTACATTTTTTTTCATTCTCATCGGATGCATCAAACATGCAGCAGTAATAAACCAGATTCTACTCAGGTGTGTGAGAGCACTTGCCTCAAGTTCATTTTTTCTCTAGTGTCTATATCATTAGCTACTATGAACACAGATTGATCTCAGCTTTTTAGAAGACGTTTCTTGAAGCACATTTTTAAGCATTTTCATATTTATAAAAACTAACCTAACAAAAAGATGGGGTGGGAGCATTGTGGATGGGCATCACCCACAGTCAAACCACCCTAACCCTGTCATAACTTACATTTTGACCAAACAGTATACTAAATTGGGAGTTTTATTTTTCAAGTCATTGCTATTCTGGCTTCATATTTACACTTCCATTCTCATCCCCCTTAAAATCATTCTTGATCATCCTGTTTTCTTTCAACAGCTTCAGAGGATGATTCCGAAGAAGATGGAGACCATAACAGAACATTTGATATTGCCTAACTTCGTATAAGACAAGTGGATGATCTGTGAACAAGTGTTTATTAAAACTGGCAATTAAATATGAATTAATTTTGTGGGGGAATGCCTATTGAATACATTGACTATATATATGTGTGTGTGTGTGTGTGTGTGTGTGTATATTCATTCTCAAGTATTGCTGAATTAAAATTCTGCTGGACCTTTTAACATGGCCAGTGAATCTGATGTTTATAAACTGGTAATCAAAAAGTATTTTTCTTTTAGGTGAGTGGGAAAGTGTTACCCTTGTTTTAGATATCTAAGCAATGCTGATGACTCTTTTTGTGTTCTGATTACTGTAGTCATATTTATGAAAAAAGGTTCATGTTTTAGTCTCTTGCTAGTGAAAAACATGGGACAAAATATGCTTTTGAAATAAAAATGGCAAATGGCACCTATTTTTCCTTTCAAAATGCCTTACACGTTGCAGTCACATTTTCATAATCATTTGCTTCCAGTGTTTCTAAAAAATCAGCTGGGGAGTAAGTTATGAAAGCATATATATTAGGTTTCCAAATTTAATATGAATTATAAATTCACTTAGCAATAAAATCTAATTTTTAAAAATATATAAGTATAAAATGTATAAATGATGGATAAACTTTTATATTGATTTGCAAAATGCAGATTATATTTGATAGGCCATAGTATGTAGATATTCCTTTTAGGAATATTACAGCTGTAAAATATATCAGAATTGCCCATCAAATGCTATTTGGGAAAAAAATTATTGCAATCTCAAGTTAACAATATTTTTAATCCCACATTTAAAGTTTAAAACACTGGTTTTCAATGTGTTTTTTAGTGTTGTCACTTCTTTATAGATAAATATGATATAAATAACCTGTTTGGATCCTGGTCGTTTTTAACTGTTCCTTGGTAATTTTGAGCATTTATTTAGTGACTTAATATTTTTCACGACTTTTGGAGACCAGATGAACGTTACCTATTCACCATGAATAGATCTACACTGTGGTCATGAGTTGTGTATACTTTCATAACACTGTATATTTCCTCTGTCAACACCCTTAGCATACACTTTTAAACACCTTCAGGTGGTTTCAGATTAAATAAAGTCTTAGGTTACGCCAACGAACTACATTTTCAGAACCTAAGTAGAAACCATGTAATTTCTGAAATGTGAATCAACAGTTTGCCCACACGTAGTTTGTTGGTCTTAATGTAAAAAACTTGGCTGGAAATAAAGTGCATACTGATTGATTTACTTACTTTATAGTTTGAAATGTTTCCTTTTAAATTGGTGCTCAGAGTAGACTTCAAACCTTAGAGCCAAGAACTTTATTAAATAAAATACTGTTTCATATAAAAATATATAACTGTTACTAAAACATTTGCTCAACTCACAGGTTACCTTTGCATTAAAGGAAAAATACAAAATTTAAGGATGCCAGTTTCAGTATCTATTGTCAGGTCTTTAGGGATGCTTTTGAGTTTGAAACATTGATACTTTTAATAGAACTCAGCATGAAAATTAAGTATCTTGTGCTTAACCCACAAAACTTTTTATTTAAAGATTTAAATAGAAAACATTTCATTGGCATGCAGTTTATAGTTTTGTTATATTAAATGCTTAATGACAGATACACAGTGGCTTGAGCTTTATAGTATTATTAGTGCCTTAGTACCACTTACTGTTTCATATTTCAGTATTGTATAAGCTTCCAGTATCTTGTAAGTATGAATTAGAGGGAATAAGGAAAGTCTTTTTACTGGTTGTTACTTTTAAACCTTAAACAAATAGAGACCATATGCTATTCACTACAAATTGTAGAATGCAAATTCCTAGGAAAATGAAGTTGTAATACTGTTCTCTCTAGATACTTGCCAAACGTAAGAATTTATATTGTCCTTATTAGCTAGAACCAGGATGTTCAAAAAAGAAATTTATACATTTTGAATGTAAACAAAAACTTTGTTATTCTTAATGTTAAAAATAAATACAGATTTGAACGTTCCAGTTAGCTGTGGATCACCGAATAGATACAAGGGCTGGTTACACATGTTCTGATACATGAAGAAAATTAAGATTTACTACTTCACTACCAGGGACCTCTAAGAACTTACTTGAAAGATGAAATCAAATGTGGAAAATTAAATCAAGTTAAAGCAGCCATTTTGGAAGAGCTACCACTGGGTAGAAGTTACCAAAATGAACAGAAGAAAATTAGTTGTATGGGAGTTAAGTAGAAGGGGAGATTTTAAAGCAGCACTGTCTGACAAAACTTTGTGATAATGGAAATGTTCTATAATTTGTTTTGCCCAGTATGGTAGCTACTAACCACACGTGTTTTGAGCATTTGAAGTGTGCCTCATGCAACTAGGGAACTGAACGTAAAGTTATATTTAATTTTAATTTATTTAAATAGCCACATGTAGCGTGTGGCTACCATATTGGACATTGTAGAAATTTGACTATTAGAGAAAAGTTTAAGGAAGAGTTAAGATCACTTCTAGTTCTTAAAGGACTGGTAGAACTTGAATAAAAAAAGGAATTCCAGTCTGTTTACTATTTGTACCACTCATAATAGCTTGTCAGTAATAAAATAGACAATATCCAAGATCTCAGAAGTTTAAAGCTCTTACAGATTATAATTCTTTTGTGTACTACAGCTAGTGTAACATCTGCTCGTTTAGTACCACATAGCCACACTGTATAGTCCTGTCATCACTTCATGGTTTTTCCTGTGTCAGTAAACAAGAGTGCCATCAGTTGTGATGAAGGATGTTATTCATAGTGCCAGTGTGGGACTTTGTTGCCATTGGTCAAGCATGAGAGAGAGTGTATCTTCCCTTAAGTATTCCCCATAACTGATGGCATGTGGGTTAGGGAGAGAGAGGACTTCCTTGAGCTTCCAAGTTTCTAAATAGAGTAAATCTAATTTTATGTGAACTCTGCATATTCTTTATCTTTAAGCTGTAAAGGGTAAGGAAAACCACTCTTGCTTCTGAGCTTTCATTTTCATTTTTTACCCCCAAAATGATTTTCACCTTTGTCTTAAAATGTACATTTACTGAAAACTTTGAGCATCACCACTACGGTAGTATGTAGTGTTTTTCTAGAGTTTTTGCTTACATAGTTTTCATGTCATTGAATGGCTGGTTCCTCAGTAGTTGGAGAGCATGAGGTACCTTAGATAGGAACAGATCTGGTGGTAGGAGAAGAATCCTTAAAGGGGCTCCGTGGTTCAAGTGTTAGTCTTGCTGCCAGCCACCTCCACACCTTCCTGGTATAGCTGTAACCTTCCTGTTGCAAAAAATGTATGAAATTTTCCTGAAGTTCTAACCATTTGTGATCAGTGCTAAATACTATTTCTCCAAAGTGATGTTCTAAAAGTAATGAAATTGTAAAATTATGTGGAATATGGGCTCCTTAAAATCTACAATATTTTCTACATCTAACTCAAAAAGGAAGATAAAATATATTAGAGGAATCATCTGCCATAGTAAATAGCATGTGGATCTATTTAACAGTCTTTTATTTCCCATAGAAACTGGTAAAGACCTTTGTAAAACTTTGTAAAACTACAGTGGTAGGTAGAGTTTTGTTTTTGTTTTGTTTTGTTTTTTAATTCACCTATAACCCACAGTGGTTCAGTTAAATGGGAAGGAAGATAGAGCAGTAGACTGGGTTTTTATTTTTATCTGCTTTACTACTTTGGGCTTTATTTAAACTGTTTCAAGTGAAGGGTGCATTTAGGGAAGTGGTTAAAAGTACTAAATTATATCTATGATTATTTTTTTTATAAGTTCTTATGAGAACCTAAAGATCAATTTTTGTCACAGTGATTACATGAGAATAATGAATGTTACTGGAATAAGGAAATAAACCATAAAAACTAATTTTCATTGCCAAGTTTTACATTAAAATCCTGCACAGGAATCACCGTCAAAGTATTTGATGCCTTAATTTGAGATTTCCAAAATCTTAGTCAAATTGAACAGCATACTCGTTTTCTTCTGCAACTACCAAAACACAGTCGTCGTTATAAGGTGATTGGGGTGCAGTTGAAAAAACTGTGGTGAAACCAGAATCCGAGTTTCTTTTGTACAGGAACCAAACGATTGCTCCCAAAACTGTCAAAATTACTGTGCTAGCAATCACCAAAGCTGATATTAAAATGTGGTTATCTGAAAAGGAAAAGACAAAATATATGTATATGGAAATCACTTACTGGTATTGCACTTGGGGGAGCCACAAATACAGTTTCATCATGTACATATTTGCCTATTTTAAGGATTTCCCACATTGATAAAAATAAAAAATTGTACATTTATTGTGCTTCTTAGCTTGAACAACTGTCATTCAAGATTTCAACCAAGGTTTACAATTTGCCACTCTACTGTGAGATCCTAAAATGAAAAGCACCTACACTCAGGGTATACTACAGTTCTATTTGTCTCCCTTGGGTTTTACTTTATATTTACTGCTCTTTTCAAGACTAGTTGTCTTTAGAGGTTTGTTTACATTAATGAGGCTTATTGGTTCATCTGGTGTTTGGCATTTAAAATTTGTTCCACTGAAAACAGGAATGGCAATAAGAGTATCCTCCCCCCGCCTTTTTTTAATAAGATTTTTTATTTGAGAGCGCGTGAGTTGAGGGAGGGGCAGAGAGAGAAGCAGACTCCCTACTGAGCAGGAGATACAGGGCTCCATCCCAGGAGCCTGAGATCATGACCTGAGCCACCCAGGCGCCCTTTTTTTCTTTTTGTTCAAGTATCTGTGTATATTCCTTAGTTATGTTCAACCTTAACAGTTCTTGGCTATTCAAAACCCTTGTAATCTTTCAGTAAGTGCAGGGAAATTAACTCAGTTTAGGAGTTAGGAGGAGGTAAATGCTTTGCGGGGAAGGTTATTTGTATTACATTTAGTAGCACCCAAAAGTATGTCCAAGAAATCTCAAATTATTTTCTCTTTACAGATGTATTTTTACATTATGGTTATTCGAATGTACTTATATCCTCCTTTAAGCTATGCCTTTTAAAATGATAAAATGTAAAGATTAGCAAAGAAAATCTGGCCAAAAGTTACTTGTTAAAGTGAGAGAGAGCCATTGATATTTTTAAAATATTGACAGGCTTCTTTAAAAAAATAACACAGGAGGAGTTGGGTAAATGGCCACAGCTGAATTCTCTCCTTTTTGGTCCTAAAAAAAAAAGTTTGTAGTGGTCACAATTTGTTAAGGTGTGGGTTGTATTCTTATTGGAGACCCTCAGATAAAAAAATGTGTATCAAGAAAGTGGGGCACATTGTAGTTAAACATTTATGAAATACGTATTTTTTAATGAATTCAGAGTCCACTCTGGATCAAATGTTTCCAGATCTTTCAGCTATTCCTAATAGGGTTTTGAGAACCACTTAGACCTACCAACTCTTTTCTACACATTTCTGTCTGCATATATCCTCTCCCCCCCCCACCCGCCGTATACATGTGCATAGCTTAAAATTCATAGTTCTACAAGATACGTAACAAAAATCCTGTGCTCCTCCTGCCCTACTGCTTATCCTGCATTCCCATTCCTGGTAACTTCTGTCATTTGCCTCCATGCTTAAAATAACATGCTTACACGGCTTTTCTTGATTCAGTTTTTTTAATGTCAAATACACAAAATGCACCATCTTAACCATTTTTAAGTTGACAGTTCTAGAGCATTAAGTATATTCACGTTGTTGTGCTGTGTCACCATTTATCCATAGAACTCTTCATCTTTCAAAGCCGAGACACTGTATATATTAAACAATAACGCCCCATTCTTCCCGCCCCTCCCATCAGCCAGCATTTTACCTTGTGTCTATAAGGTCGACTACTCCAGGTACTTCATATAATTGGAATGAAATCGTATTCGTCCTTTTGTGACCAGCTTATTTCACTTAGCAACTAATTTCTTCCAAGTTTGTGCATGTTGCAGGATGTGTCAATTGCCTTTTTTAAGGCTAAATGTTACATAGCCATGTTTTGTTTATCCATTCATCTGTCGATGGACACTTGGGTTGGCAACTTCACCCGTGGCTATTGTGACTAATGCTGCTCTGAACGTGAGTGTACACATCTCTGATACCTCTTTTCACTTAATTTCGGGTATATACCCAGAAGTGGAGTTCCTGGATCATAGGTATTTCTATTTTTAGGTTTTTGAGAAGCTACCATACTGTTGTCTGTACCATTTTACATTCTTACCCAGTAATGCACAAGTGTTCCAGTTTCTCATCTTTGCCATCGCTTGTTTTCTGTTTTGTTTTTGTACATAGCCAACCTAATGGCTATGAAGTGGTGCCTGCCTTGATTTATTTTTTTAAGTAAGCTCTACACCCAACGTGCTTGAACTCACTTACCCTAAGGATCAAGAGCCACATAATCTGCCAACTGAGCCAGCCAGGTGCCCCTTTGCTCTTTTTGATTTTTTTTAAGATTTTATTTATTTGTCAGAGAGAGACAAAGGAACACAAGCAGGGGGAGAGGGAGAAGCAGGCTTCCCGCAGAGCGGGGAGCTCAATGCGGGGCTGGATCCCAGGACCCTGGGATCATGACCTGAGCCGAAGGCAGCTGCTTAATGACTGAGCCACCCAGGCGCCCATTTTTTATTTTTATTTTTTATATTTATTCCTATGGAAGAGTGAGAACATGATTCTCCAATATCTACATGAACTCTCAAACACTCCTTTCCTCCTCTTCCATCATGGTTCTAGCAAGCCCTAAACTGAGAGAAAAAATATCCACGATACATGTGACAACTCATATCCAGAATAAAAAAAAAAAAAAACTACCAATCGGGAAGGCAATCCAATTAGAAATAAGGACACAAAACCTGAAGAGGCGTATCACAAAAGAACATATTGAAATGGTTAATAAGTGTGTTAAAGTGTTTAACATTATTCATCAGGGAAATGAAAATTAAAATGACAGATTGCTACACATAACATCTGAATGGCTAAAATCAGGTTGACTTTCATGGGATGGATGTGTAGAGTGAACAGAACTTGCATACACTGACAGCAGGAATGTAACAGTTCAACCACTGAAAAATTATTTGATGGTTCTAATAAAAGCTAAACGTATTAGCTATCCTATGACCTTGCAATTCTACTCTTTGGAATGTACTCCAGGAGAGTGACAAAACAGGTCCAAATGAGAAGTTCACAAGCAGCTCTTACCATAGTAGTACCAATCTAGAAATGATCCACATACACATAACTAGAGATTGGACAAATTGTGATATAAAATACTATGCAACACTAAAATAGGTACAATATATACCCAACATGGGTGAATCTTAAAAAAAAAACTGAAAGAGGGCGCCTGGGTGGCTCAGTTGGTTAAGCGACTGCCTTCGGCTCGGGTCATGATCCTGGAGTCCCGGGATCGAGTCCCACATCGGGCTCCCTGCTCGGCGGGGAGCCTGCTTCTCCCTCTGACCCTCTTCCCTCTTGTGCTCTCTGTCTCTCATTCTCTCCCTCTCAAATAAATAAATAAAATCTTAAAAAAAAAAAAACTGAAAGAAGCCAGTAGAATTACATTTATGTTAACAAGTAACTCTAAACTATGGCGATAGAACTCAATAGTGGTTAACTAGGATAGATGGTGGTAGGAGCTACATTTATTGGGAAAGGGCATGGGGGACATTTTTAATGTAACAGAAATGTACTGTATCTTGATTTGAGAGCTAGAGTTAGCCAGGTGTCTACAGAGGCAACCGTCAAACTATACACTTAAGATCTGTGCAACTTATACCTCAAAGAGATTAAATGGGGTGCCTGGGTGGCTTGGTTAAGTGTCCAACTCTTGATTTTGGCTCAGGTCATGATCTCAGTTGTCAGATGGACCCCTGTGTCTGACTCCACGCTGACCATGGAGCCTGTTAAGATTCTCTACCTCTCCCTCTTCCCTCTGCCCCTTCCGCCCCACACATGCACACACGATCTCTAAAAAAAAAAATAGATTAAAAATTATACAACCAATTGGCAAAAATCCACAAGTTTTGTAACCCTTTGTTTCTGGGAATGCAAAATGGTGCAATTCCTTTTACTATATCGATCCAAGCTCTGTATCCACTTTCAACCCATTTACAGGGAATCTAATCTTTAGATAACATGTATTTGTGCAAGGCAGATTCATTGCAGCGCTGTAATAGCACATGTTTGGAAACAAGCTAAGAAGGATCTGGGGCTGGTTAAATAACTGCATATCCATACAATGGAAGAGTATTCAGTTGTAAAGAAGAAAGAAGTTCAATCTATAGGTAATGATACAGAGATATATTCACTAAAATATATTAGTGAATAAAAGGGGCAAAATAAGTCCTACATCTCAGTTTGCTTATTTTGGCTAAAAGAAATAAGACATTCATTTAAAGAAAAAACTGAATGGGTGCGCAGTAAGGAGAAAGATAGAATAGGGTAGGTGGGGGCAGGTTGGGAGACAGACTTTTCAGGGTTTGCCTTATAATTTTGCTTTCTGAGCCATGTTAATATATTACCTGTTCTTTAAAAAAAATGGATTTAGTAAACCCTTAAGACAGATGCTTCATGAGTTACAACTATGAGGTCAAATTTTTTTAAATAAAAGATTGCAGAGTGCCTACAAAAACAATGGAATTCAATGGGAAATAGTTTTTGGTGTTTAAAAAATTCGTAATTTGGGGCGCCTGGGTGGCTCAGATGGCTAAGCATCTGCCTTCAGCTCAGGTCATGATCCCAGGGTCCTGGGATCGAGTCCTGCATCGGGCTCCCTGCTCCTTGGGAGCCTGCTTCTCCCTCTGCCTCTCTCTCTCTCTCTCACTCATGAATAAATAAATCTTTAAAAAAAATAAAATAAAAAATTCATAACTTGCAGTTATATTTAGAATGTAAAGTCATTACTAAACTAAGAGACCTTTCTAAATTCTTACAAAAGTTGTTCTACTTTATATTATACAATTAATTTTTAAGGGGTCTTTAATATTTTAACATTTGAATCTTAATATTACTTGTGGGAAAAATTTTTAACAAAAGACTCTTACCTGATAAATATTTCTTTTCATATGGGACTAAAATAAAAAAGAAAATTAAAATTAAAATTCAAGTATGCTTCATTCTATGTTTGCCTTTAAACACTTTCAGAATAGTTAAAAATGAACCCCTATTTAATAGCTTAATATTATCCATATTTCTATTGCTTGGTCAATTGTGTTTTCCATTTTGAACAAAGGTTTTTTTTGTTTGTTTTTTTAAAGAAGATATAGAGGTCTAATGTAATGCATTAGCTTGGTTGGTGGAAAAGGATTAGGTAACTCAAGAAAAAGTGATGAGGTGAAGAAAACAGAATTTTGGCAGGAGAGTATAGAAAACAAAGCTAGTAAAATTAAAGTGTGCACCTGTGATCTTAATGGTACGGATTTGTTCACGATTTCTGATGTTTCAAAGTCACAGTTTAAAAATTTGGTTTATAATAATGGTGCCCTGAGACTTCATACATGAAAAGAACCAACTTTTTAAAAACCCAATAAACTGGAAGTTGAATTCTACCATAAAACTGTGAGAAGCTTAATATAGTCACTATAAACTGTAGTTAAGAACCCTGCTGAGGAAAAAAAAAAAAAAAAAAAAGTAAAATGTAAAGGGAAAAATAGCTTTAGTTTACAGTAGAAGTAGAAGGGGGGTAAATCCTAAAAAGGCGAAATGCGGAAATGGCCAATGTGTCTCAGGCATCCCAAAATCATATTTTGAAATTTTAAGTGTTTTTAATGAGAAAACAATTCTAAAACTTAGAATAAACTTTGATGTTTAACAATAACATCAAAATACTGTGGGACACAATAATTATATTCATTAGAAAGCATTCTGATGAGGAGGGGATGGTTGGAGTCTGGGAGTGGTGGGTGTGTAGAGGGGCAGGGGCCAGGTTCAGAGCTCACCCCTTGGGAAAAAGGAAAAAAGAAAAGCATTCTGAGAGGTCAGAAGAAAAATTACACTTTAATCCAGGATAAATTAAAAACTACAATGCAGTTTTTCTTCATTTGTCTAAACAAAGGACGTTAGTACTTGTACAGGGTCAAATTCTTTGTAGTAAACTTTAGAATTCTGGAAGTCAAAGTATTCTTAACCATTTCTGTTAAATCAAATGGAAGGAAACTGAGGGTTCCATCAAACAACAGAAGAAATTTTTAACTTCTTGTAGGCTAAGTATAAGATAGGATAAAAGTGTGACTGGTTCACATGATCTAGGTCCTACCTCTGAAATGTGAAGAATTACATTTGACTTCTGAGAGACTCGACAGCAAACCATCCTAATATGTTCTGAAATCTTTCTTACTCACTCTAATTTATTGAGGCATAACTGTCCCAAAGAAAATTATTTTAAAACCAGCCCTACTTTCCCCACCCCTCTAGGAATGGAAAAAAAGTCTTCAGTTATACTTACTAGCTGCTTTACAAAGGGTTCCTTCCATAGAAGAAATTTCACAATTTCCTTTTTTCCATTCACCTGTCTTGGTGTGCAAAAAGGCACAGGTGTCAACTAGATCCTCACCATCTTCTTGGTCTGTCCACTTATCAAATGTCACATTTGACTTATCAAGCCACTTGAAACTTGCATCTGTCAGTTAAGAATATTTTCATCGTTATGAGTTTTAAACTGTTAGAGCCATAGAAAAGGGTCTAGGATTAAAGGTCAGAAGTTACTAAGGTATGTCTGGTCAAAACTTTTCCTTGTAGGATTTAAATTAGGAAGAATGTATCTTGTGTACAAGCACATCAAAGGTATTGGTTCAAGGAGTGCCTCGGTGGCTCGGTCAGTTAAGCATCTGCCTTCGGTTCGGGTCATGATCTCGGGGTCCTGGGATGGAGATCCAAATCGGGCTCCCTGCTCAGCGGGGAGTCGGCCTCTCCCTCTCTCTACCCCTGCACCGACTTGTGCTCTCACTCTTCCTCTCTAATAAAATCTTTTTTTCAAAAAAAGATATTGGTTGAAGAAGGTTCTATGGATGGGGCACCTGGGTGGCTCAGTTGGTTAAGCATCTGACTCTTGATTTCAGTTCAGGTCATGATCTCAGGGTCATGAGATCCAGACCTGTGTTGGGCTCTGCACTGGGGATGGAGCCTGCTGGGGAGTCTCTCTCTCTCCTCTCTCTCCCCCTTTCTCCCTCTAAAAAAAAAAAAAAAAAAAAAGTTCTTGAAAAGAATATAATAACATTTTCATGGGGAAATAGCCAAGAAAATTAAAATATTAATAGTAAACTTAGTTTCATTTCATTAATTATGTATGTACTTTTGTTTTCTACAGGGACACTAAATATATAATATTGCTCTGATAGTTCAATTACCTTTATCCTATTGTTGACACAAACACTAATATTTATGACCCTACCATATTAGAAAAATACTGAGCCTAGAACCGTATTTTAATCCAGACAAAAGAATCAACTTTGATTCTTCTGTGTGAAACACACTGAGCTGCTCAGGGAAAAGCTGCAGTCAGACTATACACGTCATGTACTGGGTACAGAATGCACACTGAACAAACAATACCCGGACACCACAGGAAACACCAACCTGAACTAGAGAACTGAAGAATCTCAAAGTCATCAATTTTACCATTTAAAAAAAGTGATTTCCTACAAGGGTAACTATTACTTACCATCTGTGTCAAAAAACATGCCTAGTAGGATATCATCTGGGCCTTTCCATTGCTTTTTCAAAGTATCCAGTATAAAAGCATTTTCTTCTTCATTATGTATGCTTACCATGTCTGCTCCTGGAATTATTTTTAGGTAGAAAAAAAAAAAGCATGTTTCCAGGATCAATGAAAATCACATGAAGTATATGAAAATTATCCATTATTATAATACTTATAATAACATTACACTTTTACACCTTTTTAAGATTCAGCTTGAGAATATGCACATTTCTGAAAATATACTCATGAGAAAAGTAAAATGGGATAAATTGGGCAGAACCATTTTATACTCTCATTCACAGAGTCGGTAATTTACAGACAAGGGAACAAAACCTCATGCGAGGCTTGAGCAATCAACACATTTTCTGCATCTCTCAACTTCACTCTTTCCCATGACTTCTTCCTCTAGCCCTCATGGTTTCTCCTGTCCTCACTGCACTACCATAGGGAGGCCAAGCTCTGACCACACCCAGGAGAACTAAAAACCGTGAGGGCAAACCTGCCAGAACAGCTCCCAAGACCCTGTGAAGCTCAAGCAACGGTATCTGACCGGCCTCCTTAACTGTCTGCCTGTGCCTGCTGCCCAAAGCCCTGCGCCTTCCCCTAACTTTGTGGTCCTTAGAAAAGTGCCAGCTTTGGGAAACTGAGCGAGGAGGTCCTCGCTCTCACTAGATGGTTGATCCTTCCTGGGGCTCTTTTGCACAATTACAGAGCCAAGACCAGCAGCCATCTGTGTGTGTCACATACATTAGCTGTCGTCCTTACAGTCTAAGCACCCCATAACTGCCAGGAGTGACATGACCTTTCCGAGAGCCCTTTTAACCCTGCTTCGTAACCTAGACAAAGATCTCTCTTGCAAATTAAACATCCCACTTTCTGTACTACAACTAATATAACTACACGGAGACACGAGGAAGAAGCCTTGCCTACTCTTAAACTACATGCTTCCAAAATCATCCTGACTTAACAAAGGCTCCTGAAAATGTCAGAATATTGTCTTAGTTCAGGGGTTCTCCACCTTGAGCAAGCATCAGAATCACCTGGACGGCTTGTTAAAACAGTGCTAGGCCACATCCAGAGTTTCAGATTCAGCCAGAGTGAGATGGGGCCTGAGAATTTACATTTCTAACAGGTTCCAGGAGATGCCGCTGCTGCTGATGCAGGGACCACACTTTGAGAATTATAGGAGGCTTAAATCATAGGCTACTCTATTTATGACATCGTGCTAAAGTTGATAATGATTTTCATAAGTTAACAAATGGAAAAGACAGAGCTCCTGTTACATACTGATATGGTAAAAAAAAAATTGTATTAGGTGACCACTTCTACATCTTTTAAAAGGGGCTTGTACAAAAGAAGAAATTTAACTACAGGGGAAAGAAAATTACTATAGGGCCAAAAAATCTCCCCCAAAGCATATTGTATTATTAAAGAAAAAAATCACAAACTGGGTAGACTAAAGCTCCATTATAAATAAAGAAGCAAACACCTTAAAGGAAAAAAAAATTTAGTTTCAAGACTGTAAAAAAATAATTCACCCTCATAGAAGCAAAGGGAACACAAGAAATGTGTGAAAAATGCAATCTCACTGATAAAGAAATGAAAATTAAAATAAGCAGACTTCCAGGCTTACAGATTAAACAGTGCTGGCCTTGGGTATAACAAAATAGGAACTCATAAGTGTTTAGGTGGAGTAAAAATTAGTACAGCCTTTTTGGAAACAATTTGGCAAGATGTGTCAAAAACCCTAAAAACACATTATTTGACCCAGCAATCCTTAACAATTACGCTAAAACAATCATAGGCTCTGTGCTCAAATAAACACAGTTATTAATGGTTATCACATGACAATGAAAGATTGAAAATAATGACAATGAAAGATTGAAAATAATAGCCAATATTAGAGGATTAATTAAATCAGTTATGGAATTTCTATATACCAGATTAATGGCCATTGATTAGGAAATATGCATTGTATTTTTACTGCCACAGACATTTTTAAGGGAAAATGCAGATTACAGGGCAGTTTGCCAACCACGATCCCTTTTCTTATACATTAAAAAAAAAAGTATTTTTTATAAATTTCCCTGGGGGGAAAAGCCTAGGCTATTTACCAAAATGTTAACAGTCATTACATTTCCTTAGGGTGGTGCAATTTAGGGTGATTTTGATTTATTTTACTTTTAAGATTTATTCATTTCTTTTAGAGGGAGAGAGTGTGGTGGGAAGGGGCAGAGGGAGCGGGAGAGAGAGAATCTCCAGCAGACTCCCCGCTGAGCGAGGAGCCTGATGCAAGGCTTGATCCCACAGCCCCAAGATCATGGCCTGGGCCAAAATCAAGAGTCAGATGCCCAAGCAACTGAGCCACCCAGGGGCCCCTGATTTTGTTTTATTTTTAAAATATCTGCACATGTTTTTCTCATTTTTTAGTGATCGTGCATAAATTGTGCAATTACCAAAAATCTTTAAAAGAAAAAAAATAATAAGACTGGCCTTTAAAATGCTTAATAATACTTTAATCCAAAGTTAGGATTCACAAGGTTCCCTGAGTCCTATCTCCATTTTTAAAAACTCTGTGATGGTTTTCTTATCCTTTCCAGCTGCTTGTCTGTTAAAAGTCACACAGACTTTTCAACTGTTTTACCCTGATACTTGTATTCACGTATGAAACGTAACCAAAGTGCCACTCTAGAAAAATTCTCAAGGGAAGTATTTAACTACGTCATAGTTTAGGCTTAAGTGTTCAGAGATGAGGTTTTCATCCTTTTCTTTGACCTTGTGGCAGCCAATGGAACTTTAATGATTCTTAACCCTGTAATCTAATTAAATACTGTATAAACTTAAATTACTGTGTCAGGCAAATAAGACACACTTTCATTTTCTTTAACAAATGACTTCATAAGTCCCTGAAGAATGCATGTGCTCAAGAAAATTTTTTTTACAATGCATTACCAGTGACAGTACCTGCTGAGATGTAATCTGGGTCTTTAATTTTTTTTTTAAAGCAGGGGGGGAGTGGAGAGGGAGAAGAAGGTTTCCCATGGAGCAGGGAGCCCGATGTGGGGCTCGATCCCAGGACCCTGGGACCATGACCTGAGCTGAAGGCAGATGCTTAACCACTGAGCCACCCAGGCGCCCCTTTAATTCTTTTTATAGCTAGTGACACAGCTCACAAATCACAAAAAGGAAAGGCTGAAAATATTTATTTTTTCTATTATAATGGTAGCATATAAATTAAAGGTAAATGTTGCAAAATAAGAAAAATTTTAGTTTCTCACAATTATTTTCCTCTTTATGAATAATGAGAGAGCAATATCAAGTAAATTAGCACAAAGCCCTGGGAATATTTCTAAATATAGCTCTCTGCAGCCCAAAAGGTAACAAGTCACTTGTTTTCTAAATCTCTGACAGGTTTAAGATAGGATTTTGTACAGCTGGGAAGATTTTATAAATCCAAATGTAAATATTCTAGTATTCCTATGCTTTTTCTTCTTCATACATAGAAAACCCTGAATCCATGTCCACCTACTACTCTAAATGAAAACACTACTCTAGCCAAAAATAAATACCAGCATTATTATGAATTTTAGCTAATTTTCTAATTCATCAGTGAACTGGGTATTTCCAGAGTGGAAACAAATATAGAGGATTATCAAATAAATGGTAAGGTTAACAGAAATGTATGAGAAAGCTTAAAAAATCTAATATCAGTAAGATGAACTGAATTTATAAATTTTAACTGGGGAAAAGAGATATATATCTTTTTAGACAGAAGATAAATTTTATAAGCAAATTTGTAAATAACAATTTAAAATTCCTAAATTGCTACCCTGCTTGAACAAGTAGAGTTAATGGACTCCAAAACAAGCAGTCAGGATCAAGTCACAAAGTTGTTGGGTGTTTCCAATTTTGTTTTTTGTTGGCTAAAGAAAAATGGCAAGGACAAAAAAAAAAAAAAACCCTCACTACACTTGAACTGTAGAAGTCAGCCAACAAGTATTAATTATGCCTCTATTTTCTAAGCAGTTGCTTACCTGCTAAAGGTAAGTATTAAAGCCGGACAGTAAACTCTGACCTTGTAGTTCATACACACTAATACGAGTACAGGAACATGTCTCTTCTTGGTTCTCAGCCTCCAATATAATTTCTGTTATTGAAATCTATGCCTAGGTATATGTAAAATAAGTGATTTTTTTCAAAAAAGAGATAGAAAATTGTTACAAGGAAACCCCATTTAAAAAATTCCTATTATTCGCAGCACCTGGCCGGCTAAGTCGGTAGATCACATCAAGAGATCTTGATCTCTTGCGAGTCCAAGCCCCATGTTAGGTGTAGAGATTACTTAAAAATAAAATCTTTTTTTAAAAAAAATTCCTATTATTCAATTTCTTTAAAATGAAGCCATACTGGTAGGTTGGAAATTTTGTTTTGTTTTCAAAGAACCAATATGCAACACCATTTGGCATGTATAAGTTTCTCAAAGGGAAACAATATGAGTACTACATGGCACTTAATGGGATTAAAAACTTCTATGCTTAACGTTCATTCCTTCTATAATAAGTATGATTTGATATTCTTCCAAAATGTCATATTGGTTGGTTGTCAGAAATTGTGTTTTTGTTTTTGTTTTTTTTTAGGTAAAGGGCATTTCTAAATTCTGGAGTTATTAATAAGCCTAAGATAAAATTTAATAAAATGATCAAGAGATTTTAGATCTCATGCAGTCATAAAAAGCACTTCTAAAAAATCAAGGGCTGTCATATCACCATCATAGATATTTCAGTTGAAAGAGACGCTATTTCACATCCTAGTTTCAGTTTGAACTTATGAGAATCACAACTAGAGGCTTAACAACAAGGATGCACTTTGGGCCAAACAGCCAAATGTACAAAGAGCACCCAGACACACCTTTTTAAAAACGACATTTTTAGGGGCGCCTGGGTGGCTCAGTCGGTTGAGCGTCTGCCTTCAGCTCGGGTCATGGTCCCGGGTCCCAGGATCAGCCCGCGTCAGGCTCCCTGCTCCGCGGGGAACCTGCTTCTCCCGCTCTCCCTGCTTGTGTGCGCACGTTCTCTCTCTCTCATAAATACAGAAAATTTTTTAAAAAACGACATATTTATTTGAAATGTTTCACACTGTGAAGTTGTAAATCTATCTGCCAGAGAACACAGAGTGTATCTGCTAGCAAAGAGCCTTTTTCTCCCTTTTCTCCAACAGACATTTCTTTACCAGTTTCACTTCATGGTCCCGTCTGACTTCTGCCCACACTGCGTACCCGAAACAGTACTCTCGAAGGCAGAAAAACAACAGAGTGATTAAGAACTATGGTCCTAAAATCAGATCCGAACCTGGTTTGAATTCCGGCTCTGCCAATTATGACCGCATGACTGTGAACAAATAACTGAACTTCATTTCTCCCCTTGCTAAAAGGAGGCTAATGATAAACCACCTGATAAGTATGTTAGGATAATTAAACCCAGGTAAATATCTGACGTACCTAAGCACAGGGCCCGGCACAGAGTATGCACATTAAAAAGATACTGCTGTTGCTAAGTTTCTGTCATGTAGCTTTGGACAGGATTGTCTAAACAGCTGTCTTCCAACTCAAAGGTTAAATATATACCCAATTCCATTGTGTGGCTTGTATATTCTACAATAAAAATTGTTCATTTATTACAAGGACCCAGGTGAAAGTGAGATATGACAAAACCATTTTTTGAAGGAATTAGTTAAAACCATTTACGACTGTGGGGAAAAAAAAGAATAAGCTTACCATGGTCAGTACACTGATTTCTGACGTCCTCTATGCTTTCTACTTTGATGGCTTCTTTAAGAAAAATGTAACAACTGTCTTGAAACTGAACCCAGGCGGATGAAGGACAGTCTGTGTGGGAAAAGAGAAACACTGTGAAATAACTTGGGAAGAATTCCATGAATTCCTAAAGATAAAGATACTAGATATTAAATTTTCAAATAAAAAAAGAATTTAGACACAAAGCTCTGTTAAAATAAGAAATCAACTAGTGTGATAGGATTTTTCTCCATTCTACATATGGGAAAAGAGAACTGTGCCAATGATTCTCTTCTGATTTGACAGAGCAAAGTTACAAGTCTTTAGGGTGTTTAGGAACTCAGACTTGTAAATTACAGAATTATTACCACGGCAACAAACTATCCAGAAGGACAACCAATCAGAATTACAAGCTCTTTTTGAAGGTTATCTTTGCAGTATTTAGTAACAATTTCAAAAGTCCCAAGAGTTTTGCAAGAGCTTTTTCTAAAAATTATACTTCCAAAGCGGAGAAGAGACAAGTTGCGAGATTATGAATATTCAGACAAGTTTTCCTCTCACACAGGAAAACAAGGTTGATGTTCTTACGAATGTTCTCAATTTAAGACCTCATCAAAGCAGATTCTTTGAACTAATTCTATGAAACCGAACCGTATCTCCTCCTCTGTGGGTGCAGAGTGGAATGGCACCTCCTTCTCTATTTTGATCTTTTTTGTTGTTGTTCATTATAAACGTGTACATTTTTAAGTCTTGGCTCTGGAATTTCATTAGTTAGCATGAACTTACTTTCAAAAGTAAGCCTTGAAGAGCTTGATTTCACAGGCCAGAATGGAGAAAGGGGGAGGATTTTACTGAATTCCAGTGAATAAAAAGAGCTTAATTTTCCCTATTCTCTTAGGTCTATGTAGGGAAAGTCACTATGATTTTTACTTAGCTTTATTTTTAAGTTCTGTATATATTGTAATTTTAATATAAACAAGTAAAAGAACGCCCTACCACAAAGATCAGAACTTAACCATCAGCAATGTTAATCTAAATTCAACAACCTTGAGTTTACTAAACTCAGAATATGGCAGAGAACATTAGTTGTCCCCTACTTGAACCCAGCACTTTTTCCCCCCTGTGTATTTACTCAGTATTTTATTTTTATTTTTTATTTTTTGTGAAGGTCTTTTGACCTCAGCTTCTCATACAGCACAGAACATGTCCACCAAGCTAAGTTGTTTTCCAGTCTTCCAGCAACTTCTGGATAATGAGCTGTGAGCTGAAGTGACAGGTGCAAATTGCCTTTAAAAGGAGGGAGTATGCTCCCTGGATCATACCTTCCCTTTCCCACTGGCCAAAATGTAGTTGGCCACCTTTAATCACGTAAACAATGGAAACAGCCTAGGAATAACAAAGCAACAAGACAGAAGGATCCTACATGGAGCCATATAACACTCAGACTGTCAGGAGAGAAAAAAAATAAACTACTATCTTGTTAAGTCGTCGTTAATTCAGGTCATTGTTACAGCAGGTGGGTCAATAACCTAAGTAATACTAGAGGCTACTTAAAATTGTCCCCATGGTGAGACCTGAATTTTTCCCAGCTTCATACTGCTACATTTAGTAATTAAATCATCCAAGATGGGAGCTCCTGCCTGACTGGCTCAGTCCATAGAACATGCGACTCCTGATCGCGGGATTGTATGTTTGAGCTCCATGTTCAATGTAGAGATTACTTAAAAATAAAATCTTTAAAAAAAAAAAAAACTAAATCATTCAAGATGCACTAGCATGAGAGTAGGTGTCTCAAGATACAAGTTACTTTGTATACAGGTTTTTTTCCTTCCTGCTGTTCTGTAAGTACTTGGTTACACATGTTGACTACCTTGGCTTTAACTCTGGTAGGAATCTAGAACTTTCTCAGTGTAGTGGCTTAAAGATAGTTGGTAGGGATATTTTAGGAACATTTGTTTAATGAAACATTAAGTTAAAAAAAAAAACCTGAGTGTAAAATTATATGTGCAGTATGATCCCAGGAGTTAAAAAGCAAGAAGTCCAGAAATGTTTAGGAATTGGAGAGGCCAGACACGTCTGGAGGGGCAGCGTTCAGGGAGGGTTTGAAAACAGGGTGCATTGTTGAAAGTCTGTAAGTGGAGCAGCTAGGCCCGTAGACCCTCTTCCTGAGAAACAGTACTCAGCCATCGTACTTTCACTATATACCTCTGCTGCCCTCTTTGAAAGTCTGGTCCTTACTCAAAGGAACTCTTTTAGATTTAACATATAAGTGCAATCATACAGTATTTGTCTTTCTTCGTCTGACGTACTTCACTTAGCATAATACCCTCCAGGTCTATCCATGTTGTCACAAATGGCAAGATTTCGTTTTTTTATGACTAATATTCCATTGTGTGGTGATGTATATATTTTCATTCACCTATGGATGGATACTTGGGTTGCTGCCGTATCTTGGCTACTGTAAATAATGCTCCAATAAACATAGAGATGCATATACCTTTTTGAATTGTCTTTTGTTTTGGGGGGTAAATACCCAGTAGTGGAATTCCTGGATCATATGGTAGCTCTATTTTTAATCTTTTGAGGAACCTCCATACTGTTTTTCACAGTGGCTGCACCAGTTTGCATTTCCACCAACAGTACGTGAGGGTTCCTTTTTCTCTACATTCCTGCGAACACCTGTTATTCTCAAGGTATTTTTAAATTTCCTCTTTGATGTCTTCTTTGACCCATTGGTTGTTTATAGTAGCATGTTGTTTAGCCTCCACATGTTTGCGGAGTTTTTTTTTTTTTCCATTTTTTTTTGTACTTGATATCTAGTTTCATACCAGATGTTTGTTGGAAAAGATGCTTGATAGGATCTCAATCTTTTTAAATTTATTGAGACTTGTTTTGTGACCTAACATGTGATCTATCCTGGAGAAAGTTCCATGTGCACTTGAAAAGAATGTATATTCTGCTGCTTGGCTCCTTGTATGTCTATTAAGTCCATTTGGTCTGATGTGTTGTTTAAGGCCGTGGTTTCCTTATTGATTTTCTGTCTCGATGATCTGTCCATTGATGTAAGTGGGGGTTAAAGTCCCCTCCTATTACTGTATTGCTGTCAATCTCTCCCTTCGGGTCTGTTACTATTTGCTTTATATATTTGGGTGCTCCTGTGTTGGGTGTACAGATATTTGTAACTGCTATATTCTCTTGCTGGGTTGATCTCTTTATCATTATGTCATGCCCTTCTTTGTCTGTTATTATAGTCTTTGTTTTAAAGTCTGTTTTGTCTAAGTATTGCTACCCAGCTTTCTTTCCATTTCCATTTGCATGTAATGTCTTTTTCCATTCCTTCACTTTCAGTCTACATGTGTCTTTAGGTCTGAAGCGAGTCTTGTAGGCAGCATATAGATGGGTCTTGTTTTTTTTAAGTAAGCTCTATGCCCAATGTGGGGCTTGAACTCACAGCCCAAGAACAAGAGTTGCATGCTCTACCAACTGAGCCAGCCAGGCAGGCGTCCTGGTCTTGTTTATTTTTTTAAATCTGTTCAGTCACCCTATGTCTTTTGATTGGGGCATTTAGACCATTTACATTTAAAGCAATTACTGATAGCTATATACTTACTGCCATTTCTTTAATTGCTTTCTGATTGCTTTTATAGTTCTCTCTGTTCCTTTCTTCTTCTCTTGCTCCTTCCCTTGTGATATGACTTTCTTTAATGTTATGTTTGGATTCCTTTCTCTTTATTTTTGTGTACCTATTATATATAGGTTTTTGGTCTGTGGTTACCATGAGGTTCATATATACGCATTCTATGTATATAGCAGTCTATTTTAAATTGATAGTTGCTTAAGTTTGAACACATTCTAAAAGCACTACATTTTTACTCCCACCACATTTTATGCCTGACACCATAATTTACAACTTTTTGCATATCCCTTAACTGTAGATATAATTGACTTTACTACTTCTTTTAACCTTCATACCAACTTTATAAGTAGTTGATCCACTGCTTTCACTATATATGTTTCCTTTTACCAGTGAAATTTTTTCTTTCAAAATCTTACTTCTATTTATGGCCTTTTCTGCTTAAACAAGTCCCTTGAAAGTTTCTCGTAAGGCCAGTTTAGTGGTGATGACCACATCTCTGCTCTTCCTACCCTTCCCAATGTGGCTTTTTTTTTTTTTTTTTTTTTTTTGCCTCTTTAGTTGTGGAAGAGCTGCTGTGCTAGTCTTCAGGTTGTTCTCAGAGACCACAGATCTGTATGTTGTTATAACCTTGCCGGGTCCATGGAAGGAGTTGAGCTCAGGACCCTCCTACTCTGCCATCTTGATCCTCCACCCTCTGGTGTTTCTTTAAGTACAGGTCTATTACAAACTCCCTCAGTTTTTGATTTTCTGCAAATATCTTTATACTGCCTTCACATTTGAAGGATATTTTTGCAAGTACAGAATTCTAGATTGTCAGCTTATCTTTTATTAAGATGTAATTTTATTGTTTTGACTTCCATCATTCTAATTGAGAAATCAGTGGTCTGTCTGATTGTTGCTCTTTCTGGCCGCTTGCAAGATCTTTTCTTTGTTTTTTAGCAGTTTGAAAGTGGTATGCTGAGTGTGTGTGTGTGTGTGTGTGTGTGTGTGTGTGTGTGTGTGTGTGTGTTTTAAATCCTGCTAATAATTCAGTGTACTTATTGAATCTATGGCTTATTTTCATTGGTCTCTTTTGTAAAGTTCTTGACCATTGTTACTTCAAATAACACTTCTATTCTATTTTCTCTCTCCTCCCTTTCTGGGACTCAAATTATGTTTATGTTAGACTTTTCACCATGTCCCAAATATTCCCTTTGCTCCTTTCCATATTTTTAATACTTTTGGCTCTCCATACTATAATCTTGTTCCTTCTGGTTTACTAATCTTTTTTTTTTTTAAAGAGATTTTATTTATTTGACAGAGAGAGACACAGGGAGAGAGGGAACACAAGCAGAGGAGTGGGAGCGGCAGGCTCCCCACTGAGCCTGATGTGGGGCTCGATCCCAGGACCCTGGTATCATGACCTGAGCCAAAGGCAGATGCTTAACGACTGAGCCACCCAGGCACCCCTCTGGTT